TTGAAGAAACGCGAGCTTTTTTCTAAAAGTTTAGAAAGCTCTCTGGTGTAGCAAAGCAGCATTAAATGTGATTAGTTCCGGTGGGACTGTCTTGAAAAGTTGCTGTTTTGAAGTTCGGTCTTAAAACGAACAGTTAGACGTAACAAATCTGCAGCCAAGCGCCAGTTTTATGAGCTTTCGACACATTTTGGCGAAGTTGTAGTGTATGGAGTAATTGTTGTACTACTCTGTAACACATGTACTTCCCCGGTAGTACGGTAGACAGACTTCCCCAAGGAAATCATAGTTGCAGCAGCCACAAGACCGCGTTTCGCAATCCTAGAAATTCTCGACTGGTTTTTTGTCCGAAATCTGATGGAGCTAGAATGCATGAGCAATAACCCGAGTGTTTCTCGGAGTTGTTGCGTAAAGAAACTGGCCTTAACACCTTCAGTCGATCGCATTCCTCGCTTACGATTGTTATGGTATATCTGTTTCGTGGTTTGCATTAATCAATGTAGTGTTCTTGGAACGCACAGCATACGCAGACCGAATACCGCTGCCGACCTTGAACTGTGGGAAAATTGGTAACTCTGCCTCTTTCCGGTAAAGAATTACGAATCCGAGAACAATGGTGTGGGATGGGAAGAATGTGGTGCTTTTCTACGCTTGGTATGTCGTCGTGGCGGAACGAATCCGACAAGATAACCACATCATAATAGCTCCTTTTTCCTTATTCTGTGCAAGTTTAATGTGTGACCTGGTTACTTACATATCTGTGGATCTCGTTACGGTCACTCCATTGTTCTGCGTGTCATCGGCCGATGCTCTTGTAGATTCTTTCGTTGTTTTGTTTAAATCGATAAGTATGGCGGAAATCGCCGTCTTACTCCAGTTCGACCGCAAACAACCATAATTACGTCAATCATTTCTAATTAGAGTTGTTCTGGCTTCGTCATCGCTGCGAAAGTATTCGTCTAATTGCCACAGTTCGGACGACGATAACGAGCGATAATTTACATAATGTTTACACACAAAACGTAATTTCGACGGCTGCGCTATGGGAAAATTCCGTATTTTCGCCGTTCGTGCCGATTTAATTGCGTGGTGTGCATACGCTATTAAAAAAACGATCGAATAACGTGACCTTTCCGCGAAGCCAAAGTTCGCATGACGCCGGATTGTTATCCGTCGGAAAAGAACGCTTTTGATTGCGGCATAATGGAGAAAGTCCAGTCCGAGCTCGAGAGTGTTATCGATACGAAATGGTTTCTTCGCGCTAATGCGCATCCGATAAGTAATCAGGAAGACATTAGAGCCATCTTCGCAAGCAAAAAGGTGCGTTCGCCAGCGCTATTCACTCTTTGTTTGTCTTCCATTATCGCTCGAAGCGGAACCCACTTTCAGGATAAAGTTCAGTGAATGTATTACGATTACGCAACGACTGCCGAAGCAGGAAACGACGAAATCTTCCATCCATTCATTCACGGTACTACCTGCTCATCTTCAATAACGATTTTTTTGAATGGCCGCCGCTGTGAAAATGGAATACCCCTCGGACGGGATCGGTGGAAGGTGCAATTAAACGAGCCGATCAAGTAGTACCGGTTATATGGGTGAAGAACCGGTCGGACTCGCCTTTTCGACTCATCCATTATTCACCACCGCTGCCTCGCTACAATTAACGCCGAGGTTCTGCAATTTCGACTTGTTTCTGATCGGCATAATTGGTGGCATGTGTTCGTCGTGGCGATCAATGATTATTCATGTCGTGAGTCATATCGGCGAGATGATCTTGCAAATCGTGACGTGACCTACGTTCGAGTCACGTTTCGGTGCGTCACGTTCGGACGATTTCTTGCATTTGAAAAAACTGACACACCCTTCCGTTACGTCCAAATTGGCGAGTCGTTTTTTAACGCTTAATGGCGGCGTCTCGGAGTGTTCGAGATAACGTTTACAGTAATGGACACTTTGTTTACTAAATACCGCGTATCAGGTTCATTGTAGTTTGTTATTGTTTAATTTTAATAACATGGAATAAATTACTTTTTTGTGTAGACGCTTATCGGTTCTCGGTAATCGGCACGATTTATTTCCGACACGAAAGCCGAGGTTTGAGGAAACGACCTCAAGTTTTCTTTGCTTGTCAACGCAATGATACAATTTGGCAATTCGTGTCCACGAACCCGTTATAGGCGGATTACGGAGAAAAGATCTACAATTAAAAGGGTCAATTGTGCCAAGACAGGTCATAAATAATCATAATTGAACCAATTGGTAATGTCTGTCGCGAAAAGTGAAAACGTTAACGCTCGTATTTACATGCACTAATTGTAACAATAATGGTCGGTAATGGTTATTTTTAGATCGGTTTCCAGTGGTCATGAAGCGGAATCATACCGGAATCTGTACGTTCGTAAATTCATAAATTCAAGCAGTTTATTTATACTTTGTTTCACGATAAAGTACTATTTTTTAATTGCTCGAGATTATCGATTACAATACATCAATAATTTTTTCAAACGTAAATAGTTGTCAGGTACTGGTCAAAGCGTCGTGTTTTCTTTGTTCATGTCACCCAAAGAATTTAATTGTGACGTGAATATCGCTCTGGCCGCAGCTGATTAATAAAATTTCTTCATGTGTGTAATCTGTAGAAAAAAGTGCCGTTGCTTTTCCTAAATAGCCGATTTATATGCACGTCGAGCACATTTCCCGCAAGAAGTGTTATAATTAAGTAATAAAAATGATTACAAGTTGCCAATTCGATTTTACGAGCAGCGACTTTCGAAGCGCCTTCCTAAATCATTTCTGACGGGACATGCGGATGGCGGATCGACGCTATCGTTTTATGGAAAAGTTTTATGTCTGAAATGCCCTAACTCGAACGTTTTATGTGCCGTCACCACAATAACTGCGCTGATAATTTCCCCAGTTTATGTAGTTTTTTCGTGCGGAATGGATGATTAATGGCTGCAATTGATGTGTGGATAATTGGGCTAATTTACATGGCGCTCAACATCTGTCGGTCTGCGCAGCGGCACAAATCACGAATGTGTAACGGTAGTAATGAAAGGCAGTGGTGGCATGGCGTTATTATAATAACCAATCTAATTTTTACGATCCGTGTAATGTTTTGAAAGTAGTTTGATCGGACCGTTACGGTTAAATCGATTTCTAAGCTCTGCTTCCTTTCGTCCGGATATCGGTGCATTTTCGGAATGTTTATGGCGCATCTCGAAGCTTCGGGTGCGGACGTCGATATTTCCAATGAAAGTGAAAGTGGTGCCGGCTTTCTCCGTTCTAATGTTTTGGCAAGCGCATTTGTTGATAATAATAATTAGCCCCACTTCCGCGTCGAAATTACAAAGCTTTCTTCCGTTATGCCGAGTTCCGTGTCAAGGTTAACAAGTTCATGATTTTGTTTTTATTATTTTCGGATGGCTATATTCGTGGTGGGAGTTGGCGAAATGTTGTTTATGTAATAATGATCAAAGATTCCCACTAGCCATGTAAACTTTTCTCCGTAACGATCCGCTTCCCACGCGGCCGGCTAACAATGGCCTGGACGTTTTTTCGACATAATGTGACTTGATTGGTGAACGGCGCCCACACGTGACACCGACCCATATAACCAACCTACGTTGTTTATTTTAAGGTGCATACATTTTTTATATTGTTCCTCAATATTGTTCCGTACATGGATTTTGTCGCCTTAATTACCTCAAATCAATCGACAAGGTCCATTCTTAATAATTTGCATGATAATCCAGAATATATAATGTTCCATTAGTCACTTTCATATCAGGACGAAATTATCCATGCGTAAATAATACATCACATGACGAAAATGGAACCGACCTCCATTAGGTCGAATTGAAAATAGCATTTTCAATTCGAATTCACGACGTTGGGCAAGTGCCTCGTTAGTTCTATTCAGTCTCTGTTCGAATTGGTCCAAAATACAGATTTATAAATACCAAGGTAAATACCTTATTATTATTAGCCGTGAGTAAATGTGTTTGTGGTTCGTGTGCCATTTAAAAAAAGTAAACATTAACGTAGATCAACAATTTGTTGTGCCAAAAATGTAATTAATCGCTATAAAATATCTTCTTCCGGTTTTACGTGAAACCATGACTGTTCCGCTAAATATGTTTTAATCGGTTCCGGCTGTGTGCAGACGCGTAATTCCACGCTCAGGTTACGATGGAAAGGATAATACTGGGCTACCTCCTGGTCGATGTCATTTTGAAAATAAACCAACTATAAACGATATCGCCGTGCGTGATTGTTCCCTCGAACACGATTTTCGTTTTCGGGAACCTTAATTTATAGATGGCTTTCTTCCTGAAATATTCATAACCCGTCGATCTTTAAAGTATCGCTAGGAAACTGTTGGCGAGCGAGAAAGATACGTTACTTGTCGCCTGTGTACATTTTTGTCCGCACACTCAATGGGTAACAATAGATTTATCATAATTGCGTTAATTTCTGTTGGTAATGAAGAAGTTATGTTCAGTTTGAGCCATTTTATGTTAAAACTATGCGTCAATGACCACGTTTACTGCGAGCGTTTAGTCCGCGACTTAAACACCAAATTCCACCTAAATAAGTTTAGTACCCATGTTGTAAACGCAGAAATAGTGGACCAAGGATAGACAATCCAGTTCGGAAGCGCGAACTGACCTAAAGCTTGTAGGGACTAAGCTGAGGAAATAACGGTGTAAACGCAAATGGCCCGACCCAAGCGGATGGTATCTATTTTACCGACGTATCCATGCAATAGCTTGAAGTTTTACTATCAACGTTTTTGTTGTTGCTCTCTTTTAAATTTGAACCGAACTAAATTCCACCTAAAAGTGTGTATAAAGTATAAACGCAGGCGAAAAGAGAACTGATAGGTCAGGGTGCGGGTCAGTCCAGTAATTATAGTGCCTCACGATTTGTGTGATGAGTGTGAAACGTTGAATATTTGGCTCCGACCGTTCGATCGTAACTCGTCTGTTTTGTTTCAGGCCCGGCAAGTAAAACAAGGAAACGGAAACCAAGCGAGTCGGAAAGTTCGTCCGCGAAAGGCCGTCACAATTTTGGTGCTACAAAAGAAGATTTAGAGAATAAGCAAAACCGGAAAAAGAACCTGTGTAATCGTGGCAGCAGCAAGAAGAAAGTGTTGGAGGAGAAGACCAACAGCAAGCTCCGGGAGGTAGAGATCCGAGTAGAGGACTGCCTGCAGACCGTCTCGCCCCGACCCGCCGTACTCTCCGCCATCTGCAGGCGATCGTCGTCCGAAGAAGAGGTCGGCGAGTCCAAGTCCGCAGAGTGCGACGACAGCACTCTCGATGACACCAGCAACGGCAGCAGCGTGCAACTAGTGCCGGTCGAGGAAGTCCGCGACGATGAGCAAGTGCGCGATTCTATGCCGGTGTCTGGAGCGGTAACTGACGTAGTCAGTGAGGAGGACGACTGTGTGATAGTGGCCCAGAGGACAACCAAAGCCGAGGGGCGCGAGTGCTCTAGTCGCGGTGACGATGACGGACCCCTGTCCTCGTCCTCGCCCTTCAGCAGGATGGAACTCTCTGATGCCGCGAACGCGTCGTTGCGCTTCCCAGATGACCGGTCCGACTCGGGCGTGAGCTCTCTGCGCTCTAGCAGCGGCGATGAACGCTCCGGATCGCGTTCGAGTGCGTTGAGTTCGTCCGACGAGCCGCAGAATAACTCCCACAACCAGCCGACGAACCGGTCGCCGCTCTTCATCCCGGCCAGCGGCCACGCGACCGTCGCCGCCACCGAGCCGGTGCGCGTGTGGAGGGACCCCAACTTGCTGTTGGAGTCGGAACCGCACGTCCGCCACATACACAGCGTGCAGCACCAGTCGCTGCTCATGTCGCACCCATCCACGCCGGCCGCATCGGGCCCACCACCCACCTCCGCAGCAGCAGCCACCCACCCGGCCTCCCTTTTTCCGCCCGTTGCGCCTCCGCCGACGCTCATGAGTCCCCATGCGCTGCCCCACCACCCCCACCTGGCGCCGGCGGCGCTCTACCCTCACGCACACCATTTGACCGACATCATATGGAAGCAGCAGCAGAGGTACCAGCCGCTGTCGGTCGGGCCGGCGCACTTGCTGACGCAGCCGGGGGCGCACCCCACGGAGGAGATGCTGGAGAGGATGCAGGACAGGATGCAGGACAGGGAGCGGCTTCTCAGGTGGGAACTCTACGCATTCGCGCCAGATCGGCCCCGCTATAACGGATTTTTTTGTTGCAGGGAGAGACAGAATCAAGAAGTCCGCGAGTTAGAGAAACACAAAGAGAAGGAACGTTTGGAACGAGAGAGACAAGAACGGGAAAAGATGGAGAGAGACCGAGAAAAACAAGAACGGGAGCGCGAGCTTGAAAAGGAAAGGCAGGATCAAGCTCTCCATAATCACTTTGAAAAATCGTTGCGGGCAGCGCAGCAAAAGGTACTTGGTCGATTTAATAGCGACGTTCTTGTTAAACCAAGAAATACCATAGTAACTTTTATTGATGTCAACGCACCTCGGGTTTCAAGTCTTCATCATACTTGAATGTCACTGTAATCGCGTCTAACATATGCGCTCGTCGTAAAAGCACTGTATATCGATCGATTCATGCAACAACATATGGACGAGGAAATGACAGAATCTGTGCTTTTCTAATGAACTGTCTTCGAAAGAGACGTTTGCGTTCTAATTATTTGAACTAATTTGTGTATATTATATTGTGTTGGTTTCTGATATAACCAACTATCTAAAGAAATGATAAACCAAAACACTTGAGAAGGATGAAAGAATAAATAAAAAGACGGGTCGCGATCTTTCAGTTTTCTTTATTGAATTTTTATGGTACATATCTCTATTTTAAGCATTTGGTATTAACCAAAGATGATATATTGGGTGATCAACTCCGGTCAAAGGTCATATTTCCTTACACCAGTACCTGGAGTGCCTTAATCCCTCACTTAAACTCCGGGCCAAATTGATAAGAGCACCTATTGTAAACTTTGCATAAATTTTCGCTGTCCCTTTTTAAATTTCAAATTTAAAATCCATGCAAATAGAAACTGAAACTTTTTGTAGGTGTCTCATTTAACAAATTTTGTAACTCCATGAATGCTAATGTTTCGAAGAAACAATTATTAAAATAATTTTTAAGGTACTTTGCTTTCTAAACCAAAATGAATTGAATGTGTTCCCGCACTAAATAATCAGAGTCAGCTAGATCTTTGCTGATCCCGGAGTTCAGGTTAGACTTATTAGTGACCATAGAAATATAAGTTGAAATTATCAACTTAGAAACACGAAAACCGATGATGGCTTTCGAACCGAAGTCCCGACCCTATTTTTGACACTTCGCAATCTCCTTACTCTAATAAGTTGACCCAAAGTTAAGATGGTCCAATTTTCGGTAAAAGTTATATTTTATTAAGAAACAAGACCATATTGTCAATATTTCGGAAAATAGATTGTATATACATCTAACAGAGATTTAAAAGAGATTGTTCTAAATGTCAAAATTATTATAAGTAATGATAATCACATTTATGTTGGAAAATTCTAGTATTTAATTAGTAATTAACTAACTGCTTAATTAAATACTATTTACATAACACTTGCAGAGGGAGCAGTGGAACCCGATCAGTAGCGGTAGACCTTCCCAGCGACCGACCAGCTCCGACGAAGAAAGAAAACGCGTAGAACAAGAAATTCACCAGCGAGGTGATGCCCGACATCTGACTGTGAGATCAGACCGAGATCACAGAACGTACTACACGACAACAGTAAGTCAACAAAAGCACGTAAATTTCGTATCGATTTATTTCCCGACTTGTTGCAGAGTCAACGTCCTCCAAGTGTACCTTCAAAAACGGAATATCCCCCACCTCCGGCACACAGTCGCGTACCGACGAGTAAATCTTCGGAGAAAGTGCCGACCATGCATTCATCGGCGTTACCAAAGGGCGACATCAACGTATTCGGTTATCCCATGTATCAGCCGTATTTCACACACGAACCAAAGAGTAAACCCGAACATCATAAATCTTCCCAGCCGTCTTTAGTCGTAACGAAGAGTGGCACACCCATCGATAGTCGAGACGTATTACCAAACCCCCCGCCGCTCATGAGCGAAATGAAGAGTTCGGTTATCGTTAAACACGACACGGGGAAAAATACGCACCACTTGGAACCAAGAGTGTCGATGGCGCACTCGCCTAGCCCGAAAATGAGATCAGACATGTTGAGTACGTACCACTTGCCCACTGGTCAGCCAAAGAGCAATCTATACGAATACAGGAGTCCCACGCAATCTCCCCATCACCTTTCCCACGCTCCCAGTCCGCACCACAATTTAGAACCACAGAATCTGGGCAAGTCGGCACACCACCGCCAAAGCAACCAGTTGCCCAGTCCGCACCACCAGAGACAGTCCCCTCACCATCCCCACGCCCAACAACACCCATCTCCCGAACTGCGCTACAGAACCACCTCCGACTCACAAGCCATGGTTTACCCGACGACGGGCAAGAGCAACTACGCGTTTTTGTCCAGCACGACTTCCGCGTACTCGCTGTCTTCAACCAACACTTCGAACTCGAAGCCGAAAGTGAGCAGCCCGGCCCCCCATCACATCTACGGGAAGCCGTCAGCCGGAATCGTGGCAGGAGTTCCGGTGACTCGCCACGAGTCCGCCGCTCCCATTCAGTTGACTGCGAAGCCGCCGCTGTCGTCGTCCGTCTCGCCCAGTCCTTACCAGCAGGTGTCGCAGTACCATCCGCCGCATCCACAGACCACGCCGACGATGACTTGTCCGCCGCCCCCCGCTCACAGCCGGATCACGCCGTCCGACCCTCGCTATGACAGGTACGCCGTGGGGTCCGTCCCCGGGGGGTTGTCGGTTAAAGCGTCCGTGCAGCACCATGGTACCTCACCGCCGACGGCGGCGTCCGCGCCGCTCGCCGTCACCAGATCTCATCCTCAGTACATGCCCGGTGTTACCGTCTCGGTGCAAAGCTTGCCTGGGGCTCCTTCGGTGCAGACGCAGCCTCTGGATTTGGGGGTGTCTTCGAATAAGTACGAGCCCGCGGTTTCGCCGAAGCGCAAGGCCACGCCGGTGTCGTCGGGGAGCCCCGTGTGCTTGGAGACGAAGAAGCGGAGGATTGAGGCCCCGCAGCAGCCCTTGCCGATTTATGTGGGGGCTGCGCAGCCCCAGTTGGCACGTGTCAGTGAACCGAGCCCCCTGATTGTGAGTGCCGCCGCCACGATAACGACTGTAGTGAACACGGCCGCGTATCGGACCCCTTCGTTAACTTCAAGCAGCCCCAACACCGACAGCTTAGCTGACGTTTGTGTGACAGCTGTGAGTGCGGAGAATCCGGTGCGGCCATCTAGCGTCGAATCGACGCAAACCAGTGTGCAGTTGAGCAGTAGCCCGGCGCCGAACCCTCCCTCGACTCAGTCGGAAACAGAAGCGCCGAACACACCTGTCAAATTAACGATCCCGCCTAGCTGTGTCGACTCCGAGAAATCCAACAGTCCAGGGCCCACGAAGTCGAGCACTTACCCAGTGAGACACCTGAAAAAAGCGTGGTTGCAGCGGCACACGGGCGAAGACGTCGAGGACAACACCGGCGTCACTGGATCCGGCAGTTGCGTCACTCTGCCCATAATCAGCATGGCGTCGAACAACAAAGAGAACCCCATCCACTCGATCCACTCCATCGGGTCGATGGCCGTCAACAGCATCAGCAAAACGAAGCATTTTTCCAACAAGCCAAACAATCGCAAGACGCCCAACAAAGAAACTCTGAATGGACACCCGAACGACTCTGCCAAAGGCGACGATTCCTCGAGCTCCGACCAGGACCGCGGCCGCAAGTCGCCGCCCAAGCGCAAGCCGCCGAAAGTGAAACGGAAAAAAGGCGGCAGCTCTTCGAAGAAAACCTCCGAAGAGAAGAAACGCAAGCCCGGAAGCCAGTCGGTGGTGGTGAGTGAGAGTGGTTCAGACAGTGAGAAGGAAAGTGGTAGTGAGAAGGACTCGGACTCGGGGGCGAGCACCACCCTAGCTCCCGGGAAAAAATCCAACTCGGTGAGCAAAGAGCCGCGAAAGCGAGGACGAAGACCCAAGTCGTCAAAAAACGATAAAGGCGAGGAGCCGCGCATCAAAAAGTCCAAGGATGAGACGGTGCCCCAGCGCGACCCCTTTCGCAAGCCTCCAGTGGGGCAACTGAAAAAGACTGGCGAGAGTTTCTTGCAAGATGGACCGTGTTTCGAAGTGGCGCCCAAGCTGGCCAAGTGCAGAGAGTGCAGATGGACGCCGAACCAGAGGTCGAAAAATATGCCCAACATCTTCTGCCGGTTCTACGCGTTCAGGAGGTTGAGGTACACGAAGAACGGACAACTGGCCATTGCTGGCTTCTCGGACCCTCATAAAGACGCCTTAGAAGTAAGTAGGTGGGAGAGCGAGTTGAGTTTTGAGGGTAATTGGTGGTTTCTAGGATGATTTGAAATTGTGGCTGCCCAACCCCGAAACGCCACCGTCCGACCTGGATCTGGAAACGTCCAGGTTTATCTTGAAACAAGTCGGGGACCATTTCTGTGATCTATTTGTGCAAGAGAAAGAGGCACACGCGGAATACGTTTCAGATGGTGAGTTCTAATTTGATCAATGTTTTAAAAGAGTTTAACTTTGGTTTGACTCTTTTGTTTGTGTGATTACTGATTATTTAATGGTTGTTGATAAAAGTCACTTCATTGAAGAAAAAAAGTCATTAGAAATTCCTGTTTGGTATTTCATTGAATAAATTCTTGTAAGTTCAATATGTATTAAATATTTAAGTAATTATGTGGTTGGCTCAAGGTCAATATATGATAGGTCAGTTTCATCTTTAATGGATTGTAACACGGAACACGGACGAAAGCACGCTTTATAGATGAATTCAAATGCTAAATTTTACAGATTTGTTTTTAAATAGATATTTTAAACTTCGTTAAGGTTATTTTATTATGCAACAATTTAACGATTCTTTAAGTCTAACCTTTGTTCGGCGTTTGTTATGAACTGACCTTAGTCGTTTTCATATTTAAAAACCGTAAGTGTAATGTCACGTTTATCAAGGTGATTTATAATAAAATGACGTAAATCAAGTTGGTTTTGGTAGCGTTTTTATTACGAATTTGCTGTTTCTTTGAGATTGAACTGAATTATTGGTTGCCTATTTATCAACAACAGACACTGAAGAAAAGTTTTAAGAAAGTTTCTAGTGATTGACATTTGTGACAGATGACAACTTGTAATCAATCATTGCAACGAGGCGGCACAAATCACGAAATTTCAAAGCCAACTTGATGTACCTTTACAATTGCCTGGCAGCAAGTGATTGGCGTATAGAACGTGTCTTTAAATTATTCTGGTATCAAGGGCGACTTTGAAATAAAAACAAACTGGGTTGCGAGCTTTTTGCAATCGATATGCTAGTCATCCCCCATCATTCAACTCTATAATCGGTAACATAATTATGTAAATTAGATTTGAATAAAATGTTTCCCATTTTATAAGTTTGCTGCTGAAAATCCTACCATTTTGTTTTAAATATAACTTCACTTGTCATTACTTGTTGGAGATCTTCTAAATTATTAGTGCTGCTGAAAATAAGGCACTGGAGAAACTAATGTTGTTAAGTTTGGAGAGCATGGAGGATATGCAGGATAACATCTTTGGGAAATTATTCGACTGGTATAAAATTCTTCTAAAAAATTCAGTATGTACTGTGGCTCCATCTTGTTGGAAATAACCAAGCTGAAGTTTTTCATCATCGAATTGAATCGACGTTTGCAACATTTCTTCTATATACCTTGCCCCAGTAAGAGTGTTATTTAAAAGTGGGACAAATTACACAGCTGCGAGATTTAATTTGTTGCTGAAGACCTTCCTCTTGACTTCCCTTTGTTAACATCACTAACGAGTTATGAGCACTTTTTCTTGAACTTCAATGTCTGGATATAAACTCAAGTTTGCATGCAACTACTCAATATTAACATCGTTAATGAACAGAAGAATTTCCGGAGCCACCATCGATACCAGAATCGTTTTAATAGACAGTATTTTTAGTCATGATTTGAGGGAGTTTAATCAATAAGTTGCTTTCCCTTTGCAGATAAAACAGTAGCGTGGAAACGTGTCGTGCAAGGAGTGCGTGAGATGTGCGATGTCTGCGAAACCACCCTCTTCAATTTCCATTGGGCGTGCGGCAAGTGCGGTTTCGTCGTATGCCTTGATTGCTACAAGGTAAGTTCCATCAACCCGATATCGTGCATTCTTCCAACTCCGTCTCCTTTACAGAGTCGCAAGAACGGCTCTATAAAAGTTTGGGGCGAACCTGGCAAAGATCGTGACGAATACTCGTGGCTTTTGTGTACGAATAGACAGGCTCACGAACAAGAGAAGTTGATGCTGACTCAGATCATCGCCGGAGATTCCCTTTCTCAGCTCGGCAAAATGGTCCACGAAATGCGCGAATTGTGGAACATCGAACAATACTGCGCCTGTCCCGCGAGTAAAGAAGTCGTCCAGAAACCCAACAATCTCCATTACAAAGAAATAGTCAAGAAAATCCTGATGGAGAGCAAAGTTAACGGCATCAAGAAGGAAATCAAAGAGGAGAACGACGGTAAAAGCGCACCCAACGGGGTTGTAGTCAAGGATGAGAAAACTTCGCCTTTGTCTTGGTTGGCCGACGTGGCGTTATCTAACGAGGACAAGAAAAACGACGATAACAGCACGAGCGACTCGGATGAGGGAAGTTTCTCGACTTTGCGGGAGTTGCTGATTAGGCCGTCGCATAAACCCAACGGGAGTAGGGCGGGGTCGCCCGTTTCCACTCAAAAGAACAACAAGAAATTAAACGCGAAAATTGACACTTTGGACGAAGTTATATCGAGCGTTATCGAAGACAGCGTTCCTAAAGTCACAGAAGTTACGGCGGATGTCAAGCCCGAACTTAAACATTTCTTGAGGAGGTATAATTGGCAGGCGAAGGGACGCGCGCCGCTGCCCATCAGGATAATGACGCTGACGGAGAGCAAGATGCTGTACCCGGACGTCCCCCACAGTTGGCTGTGTGATGGAAAATTGTTAAGACTGAGCGATTCCCAGCATAAGGAAAACTACAAGATATTCCAGGTCAGTTTCTAATTAACAAAAATCGCGTCATTGTACAGATTTTATTTGGGGAATTTGAAGGTAGAACAAATACACCAATTTGATGGGGCATGGCTAGCATTTATATACTAAAATTGATTAAAAAATTAATAACAACTTAACTGTCAAATCCAAAAAAGTGAGCGTAAAATCAGTATGATTCAGTCTCGTGGGATTAGAAGAGATTGAGGTGTTTGTTGTTGTTTCAGGATCAGTGGAAGCGGGGCCAGCCCGTGATCGTCTCCGACGTGACGCGGAACCTGACCAAGGACCTCTGGAACCCCGATTCCTTCGCTCGCGATTTCGGCGACGAGAAGAACGACCTAATTAACTGTATGACCGGTAACCTGGTTCCTAACCAACCGATGCGTAAGTTCTGGGAGGGCTTCGACCACTTCTCCAAGCGTCTGAAGGACGACCGGGGCAACCCCATGCTGCTCAAACTAAAAGACTGGCCACCGGGCGAGGACTTCGCCGAGATGCTTCCTAGCCGCTTCAGCGACCTGATGAAGGTGCTGCCGCTGTCCGAGTACACCCACCGGACCGGGAGGCTGAACCTCGCCAGCCGCCTGCCCGACTGCTTCGTGCGGCCCGACCTGGGCCCGAAGATGTACAACGCGTACGGGTCGGCGCTGCACCCGTCCAAGGGCACGACCAACCTGCACCTCGACATCTCCGACGCCGTCAACGTGATGGTGTACGTGGGTATCCCGAAGGACGGCGACACCGACGAGCACATCAAGGAGGCTTTCCGCGCCATCGACGAGGCGGGCTGCGACATCCTGACGCGGCGGCGCGTGCGGGACAAGGGCGAGCTGCCGGGCGCGCTGTGGCACATCTACAACGCGCGCGACGCCGACAAGATCCGCGACCTGCTGAACAAGGTGGTGGTGGAGAAGGGGGGGCGGCTGGAGCCGCACCACGACCCCATCCACGATCAGAGTTGCTACCTCGACGGGCCGCTGCGCGAGCGCTTGTACAAGGAGTACGGCGTCGAGGGGTACGCGATCGTGCAGTGTCTGGGCGACGCCGTGTTCATTCCGGCGGGCGCGCCGCACCAGGTGCGCAACCTACACAACTGCATCAAGGTGGCCGAGGACTTTGTGTCGCCGGAGAACGTTTCGCATTGTTTCCATTTGACGCAGGAGTTCCGCGACCTGTCGGACACGCACACGAACCATGAGGACAAGTTGCAGATTAAGAACATTATCTATCACGCGGTCAAGGACGCGCTCTCGTGTATCAGTGCGGTGTTGAACAGGCACTTGTGCAAAAAGGAGGAGACGTCGGAGCGGAACGGCGGTGGCGCCGAGGGACAGCGGAGTCCGGCGATGGACGCGTCCGAAACCGCCTGAACTTGTGATAGTAGACGCTTATGATTCGCGAATCTTGTAAATTACTTCTTGTGTGATATGAAATGTGTTTCAGTTGGCACATTTTTCTGTGTATAAACGATGCCCTATGCACGTGAGCTGTTCTGTGTACATACATGTACATTGACTTTAGTTGGATGAAATGCTGAATATGCACGGTTTATCTTCCTGTTAGTAGTGACTAGTGGCTCGAGAGTCACCGGTTGTAATTAGCCTATTACACTCACTTGTTGACTACTTGGCGTCCCCAGGGACTATATATCAATGTTGTTTCAAAGTACCAGTGGTTATTTTTGTCACTTGTATACTGTGCCTGTTGATAAAAAAAGGTATTTTTAACTACCAAAACTTTTTCAAAACTCGCTATTCAGTATTCTTTGTGGGTTTGTAATGTTCAGAATAGTTACTTATTAGTGATTCATAATTGCCGCATCTTTTCAAGTGTTAAAATCGATTTGAAAAAAAAAACAAAATTTTATAAAAAAGTGCTATTTCATTCAAAGTGCCAATTACGATTATTTTAGGCAAAGCTGAACCAAATGATCTCGATTTTGTGTTTACAACGATGATAACAATTATCCCACTTAACTTCTTACTGTAGGTATCAAAATCTGAACGGTTTTGAATATGTAAATTTTATTTTAAATGTTCATTTTTATAATGTCCTATATGTAAATTGTTTCAATATGATGTAAAAGATTATTATAATTTATTTTGCTTTTGCAGTCATTGATTGTACAGTAGAATAGACTTTTGTACAGTAACGAATATGTTTCCTTTGCCTCTAACAGAGGCATGATTTTTTTTGTACTATGTATATTATGTAAGATCATAGGTTTGAATAAGAAAATGTTTATTAATCTTGACTTCATTTCTCCTAAACCCTAATTTCCAACTTTGCTGATCAAAGCCGATGAAGGTCAAACGTGATGGAAATCGTCAGTGCTAATTAACAGACGGCTGAGTGATGTACAACATATCTTATTATTTATCATTTTTTAAATTATTATTGGTGTAAATCAATTCGTTACGATTTCCGTGTGGCGAAAATCTAAGAACATCTCTTTGAAATTGGAAATTTTGTGGAAAATGCATAAAATGAAAACAAATTTAATAAATTCATAGGTAAAAGATTGTCCTGAACTTGGAAAATGTTGTGTGCAAAGCATGTGGGAAAACGATGTGTTTTTTTTCTTATTTATATTGCGTATTTTTTAATACGACTGTTTCAACTTGTTTTTGAATTGAAATAAAAAAGTCTCTTGTCGCAAATTCAAAGAAAAATAAACAGCAAGTATGTAATTCAGATTTAGGTAAAGCGATGCCAACATCCTCCCCATTAAAAAGTTGAAAAACGTTTTTTGAAAAATTATTGTAAAAATGTTGTACCAGACGAAAGTATGTGAGAAAAAATTATGCAGCCGATATTTACAATAAAACAACTTTCAGTATTAAAGAAATTGTAAAAAAAACATTTAATATATTTTGTGGTGGACGAAACTTCTAATGCTTGCGGCCGTTATATTGCTAAGTGATAGAGGGTCTAGTAAATCTTATTTAATTGCATGCAAACAAAAAAAAACTGTGGTATCACAATAATAGATTGCTAATCGAAGAAAGATGAGCCGCTCTGTAGTCTAGTGGTCAAGGCACTAGCCCGGCAAGCGGGTGAGGTGTGGTTGGATTCCCACTGGGGCAGCAACCCTTTTCTTCCTGATGTTCTGACACGCATAAATGTGGTTAAGACCAGTCAACAACTTAAAGTATCCTAATTTGAATCACGTTACATTTTTGGCGCACGGGTTAAACAAAGTTGGTAAGGAAATTAGGCAACAATTTCCAACAGTAAATTCGTTAATACCTAAGTAATGGAAAAAAAAAAATTGTTAAGTCTCTATGGGTACAAAAATATACTTGGAGAAAAATGGCCAATTACTCCACTGCTACCTGAACCCGTTATTGCCCGATGGGGTAGGTATTTGGTTAAACGCCGCAAAAAAAAAATCTACATATTTCAAAGAAATTTTGTCCATATATGCGCATATTGTGACAAGTGTTTGTGCGTATAAATCCGTTCTTTAGTAATGAACGATCTAGTTACAAAAATTTATAATATAAATTAAAGTCCTAGTCACAAACCTAGAATTATTAATGGTTGGCATTAATTACATAATTGTGGCATTTGAATTTTTGTTGCTATTTATAGTTCCGCCCTCATCACAAACAAGCGGCACAACATACGAATAATTTGTAGAAGCTTCATATTATTAAAAAAGCTAATTCATGATAGAAACCCTCACCGAAGATGGATCGAAAACTTCATCGCTTTTATTTTGCGTCTTATATAAACCGCAAAAATTAAAGGAAGTACGTTTTAATTTCGAAGTGAACACGTGAAGCACACGTTAGGAGCACGGTCCAAAGTTTAGTCGCTATTTTTGGAAATGTGGGAGCTAATGTGGTTCCTAACATTAAAATAGTGTTCGAAGAATTTGAAATATATACATCTGGGAAATTTCAATGCGTTACATAAGTAGTTTTTCTTTTTTTTTCACACTTCGGCGACCTTGAATATTTATATAGTTGCCTAGAATCACAAAAATCACGCCATTTGAGCCATTTCCAGCAAGCAAATTACGTATTTTCGCCATAGACAACTAAAATATGTTGGTACTTCCTGTTTTTACGAAGTCGTCGCATACTTTGTTTAATGTAATCTCAGCTAGAAAACAGTTCAATTATTAAAAAAAAAAAAAATTACAGGGTTTTACGTGCTTTATTATTAACGTTTCCCAAAACATTATTTACAAACGTTGTACATTTTTTAAATAATTCTTCGTAGTACGTACGTTGAACGAGTCCTTTCACTGGTGCGCAAGTTATAAAAGTACGCGATTGCGATTATTCAAATCTGAGTCGTTAATTAAATAGTTTATTTCGTTTACACCAGTACTATTGTATAAGTAAAGAGGTATATTAAAATAATTTAAAGAAAACTGGTAACAAAAATTGCCTATTACAAAACTTGAATTAACTAAAGCATTTTGGAACTATCTGATGGTTTAGGTTTGTCAATACTGTTAACAGGTGGTGCGATTATCGTCGACTTCGCCTCAAATTTTGTTTTTTGCGTGTCGGCGGTCTTAACCGTTTCTTCTTTCTTCACATCAATTTTAGTGTCTTTATCCTTTTGCAAGGCCTTTTCTATTTTATCCTCCACCTCCAAAATTTCCTCCTTATCCAACAACTCCATCAACTCATCCATCTGTTTATCACTCAAATTAACATTTTCTTTGCCGATAATTTCAACTACTCGTAACACGTCTTCAACCTTGATCGACCCGTCGTGGTCGTCATCTATCTTCTTCAATACTTTGACGATCTGGTCGATTCTGGATTCATCCGAAACGCCTCTGATGTTTCTGATCGCGGCTATAATATCATCGATCTTTAACAATTCCTCTTGCGTCTTCTGTTTATCAGTTGCTTCAACTTCCAAATCTTTCTTGAGCTGTTCCTCCTTCTTCTCTAAATCGACCAAAACGTTATCCAACTTGCCGATCATCCTATTCACGCTCTTGAACAGCCTCTGCGCCGCCTTGCTCTCTTTTATCTCAGGTCTAGGCTGCTCGGCAACCGCTTTGTTGAAATCCTCCACGTCTTCCCTGTAATCCGCCATCTGTTCTTTCAATTCTTGTATCTCGCTCTTCTCGAGCATGATCTTCTTCTTTTGGGCGACCGACTCGATCGCGTCTTCGAGCATTTCGAAATCTTTCGACCTCAAAGGCTCTTCCTTCTTTTCAACCTTCTCCAGCTTCTCCACACTTATCCTCGTGGCGGTGTCCTCAAGGATCGGTGTCGAAGTAGCCGAGATCACAGGTGCTTTGTCGATGAGCAATTCCTTCTCCTTCTCCTTCTCTTTCTCCAACTCGAGCTGCTTCTTCTCTTCTCTTCGTTCTTTCCTCTCTTCCTTGACTTTGCGCTCTTCTTCCTTTAACACTTCCAGTTGAACTTTATTGTCAATTTTGCCTTCTTTCTCTCCGATTGCGGCCTTCGTTGACGTGATGACCGTTTCAGGAAGAGCCGAAATCGTAGCTTTGAGCTTATCGCTGGTCGGAATCGTTTCAGGCAACATCAGCGCTCTTGACAACAGCAAGAGTGATGGTGGCACTCTTTCGTTTAAGCTCAAGTCGAGCCATTGGTTTAATTGTGACCTAAGTCGCTCTTCGGAGACACCGTAAGCTCTCATTCCGCGCACTCGACAAGCTTGTTGGACTTCTCCTAGAGTGAGGGTATCGACGCCTTCTTTTTGTATCATTTTGTCATCGGCTGCCAACGAACGCAATTTCATTCGTAACTGAAAGCGCAGGAAGTTATTGGTGCCCAGTGTTTGGACTTCGAGGACACGGCACAAGGCAATCAACTGGCTTCTTGAAAGAGAGTCGAGGGTTATTTCGTCTTCGAAGAGCTTCGAAAATTTCATTATTTCTTCGTTTGATACCTGCTCGCCTGAAATAAAGAAATTGTGGTCACAACAGTACAGCTTTAAAAAAATTAAAATATATATCCAATTTTACGCATTTTGGCATTAAATACATATGTATATGACATATGAATATATGATAACCTTCTCTATAAATTATAACAACTATATAACAAAAGTGTAAGGTCGGTACATTTCACACAGTTATATTGCTGTTATGTTTACTTACCATGACAAACTTACAACGAACTATGTTTGCCATTATAAATTAATTATGTTGGACTGCAGTTATATAATATGTTAAAGTATATCAATATTATTAAAGACCTTTTATTATTAGATGACACACGATGCTTGTTTGTTTGTTACATACATAAACAAAGGAAAAACAAGCGAAACTCGTCCTTATTCCACTCTCGGCTGTATACGTGTCGTGTTCGTACACATTCGGGAATGTACGGATATGCAAAGGTTAGATATTACTTTGAACTTGACCTTGACGCATGCACATACGTTTACTACAACTCTAAAGGCAGCTTAACGCAATGTCAATTTAAAGAAATTTTTTAAATACAATTTTCTTATCCTAAAATTTTAATTTTAATCAATAAATACGCTTCCCGACTCATTAAAATTATTATCTGTTGAGAAGGCAACAGTCTAGATGTCCTGTCTGAAGGGCAAAGTTCATGTCACAAGATATTTAGATAAACTTAGATATTAGCAAAATTTTACACTCATAGTCATGCACAATCGTGATAAGTGATAACACTTAATCACATGGCATGTATTGCTATCACATGAGGAAATAATCTTATTTTATTTTTAATAAAACTAAAAAACACTCCTTTTACGTAAAAGGCCTTGACTGACAAAATCTGATTATTACGCAATAGGAAGCAAAATTATAAGCGATGATTAGGCATGATCAACTTTGAGGTTAGGATACGCAAGGAAATACCTGATGTTCGAATTTTGTGGAACCATTCTGAAAATTCTTTGGCGCGAGCTGAGTTATGGTCCTTATGTTGGGGGGCCATATCATCCAGGGTTTCTTGGAGGAACTTTGCCATTTCCAATTTGACCTTCAGATTTTGTTTAATTTTATCTTCCCGCTCCTTTATAGTCTGGAAAGTTGATGGTAACATCCCAGGGAAGAGTTTTATGAACACTGGTAGTAACAATTCCATGAATGGTACGATAATAAAAACTGAAAATGGTACAAGCCGAAACATGTCACCCACTGTTCTTCTTAATAGACGGTACTCTCTCCTTGACAACGTTTTTCCATTCAGAACTCGCCATACCAAGACTGTGGAGATTTTCACGTCAATGAAAAGTAACCGAAATCCATGATAATAATGGATCAGCTCATCAATAATTTTTTGTTTTATACTTTTTTTAACGACAGGTTTTGGTGCTAGTTCAGTGGGAGAAGTTTCCTTTTGCTTTTTTAGTTCTTGTACTGTCACTTCAACTTTAGATGACGGTTTTAGCGGCTCCTTCTCGAAATAAATAGCAGATATTGAAAAATTCCTAGGGTGTGTTTGAAAATTGAATCTACTAGGGGCACGGAGTAGTGGTATACTCCATGGTTCTTGTTCAAATCTCTTGATCAAATTTGCATTACTTGTAGAAATGTGTCGTCTTGGTTCTTTAAAATTATGTTTGCGTATTCGATCACTCCCGACACACACACACTTTGCAGTGGTGTTTGCATCATAAACCCCTAAAATCAAATTGATTGACAATGTTACATAATGGGATGGATTTAATGATATTCCAATGACTACTTGCCTCTGACAAGACTGTAGGATCCCTTTGCAGTGTGCGGCCGGAGGAAAACGTGCATTGTGTATTTTTTACTTTGTGGGTTTTAACTTTTGGTTTGCTTTAATTCCGTTCCTATTTATTCTTAAAAGCCATGAATTGCAGTTTGTATGGTTATCATTTACTGTTGCTTGTGTTTTTCAGTTCTTTACCTATGAACAGATATCGTCACATAAAAATTTTCCAAGACGTAAAGTATCGAATAGAAAAAAAATGACATCATCGAATGACGTTTGATTACCAATCGAACAAAAATGATGTCCCTAGATTTTCAAAGATTTGCACGAGTTTGCGCAAGCGGTGATTAATAACCAGTGGCGTATCTAGAAACAGGGGAGCCGGCCTTTATTTCTTGGATATTTTTTTGTTTACATTGTTTGACACTTCAAAAGTCATGCTGTTGGAAGGTCTATCCCAAAACGCTTTTTTTTCTCCAAAAAAAAATATACAATTTTTTATAAATAGATTTATTCTGAATATCAATAAACCAAAACAATGCTAAATTACAGTGCAAATAGCGATGAAAATGTTTAAACAAATAATTTAGGATCATATAATATGCTACTACAAGTCAATGTCAGTTCCAGCCACATGGAACTGTTTGAAAAAGTACTTTCGAATGATGTAAATTCGAACATGTTTGGAATAAAGCGCTTAATATCCCAAAGTAAAGCGAGAAGAAATACTAAATGCTAAAGTTAATAAATGTTTAAAGGTGAAGTGGCCTCAAATTTTGTAACTGCTGTTCCATGCCAAGCACTAACTACCTCCTCTAATTCTCTAACGTCCTACTCATGCATGGCTGATTGCCTGCGTTAATGGAATTATAATTTTTTTAAATGCGGTTTTGCGGCTTGTTTTTTTTTTCTCAGCGCAAAATTTAATTTTCAAATTGGGACACTACACCACCAACAATTTGATGACGCGTACAGAACATACTTCTATACTTGTCGTTTATAAATCCGCTTTGATTTTCTACCTTGGACATTCAAATTTGGAAAAAAATCTAAATAACAACATTTTAAAATGTAACTTAGAAATTGCAAAACCGAATACTCTGAAATCTTGCAAACGTTTTAAGGTTACCGTAAGTATGGTAAATCCCCTCTCAAAATCTTGATGATAACATTATAAATTTTGGTGTATAAATTCTATTTTAAATGTGCAAAATAAGTACTATGAGTCTGTACTTTTGGTTTATCGATGCCTTCATATTTTTTTAGAGCTGCTCATATTTAGAGGAATGAATGAAGCAATCCATTTTATTGATCAAATCAAGAACAGCTCACTCCATTTTCTCGAAATTTTAGGAATACGTTATTAGTATTTGCATACCTACCCCAGTCGATATATGTAGAGTTGAAACATATATACGTCGAGCATGCTATAATTTAATATTGGACACATATTAATAGATAATATTTATTTTTTTATGTGAAAAAAAGTTAAAGTTAAATACCATGATTTGGGTATTTCAGTGAGTTTCGTACTGTTAGGATTTATGGTAAATAAAACATAAATACATATCGAGTGATTATTAATGATTGAGGCAAATTTTTGTGTTAGCAATTCTGAATTATTTGCATCCATGTTAGTAAAGTAAAGTTTTAAATAGATTGCCAACGTGACAAAAAAATTACAAACATTAATAGTAACACGGTATTTTCCAAGACACGAAAAATGAAAGAAAATTGCAGAATACTAGATGCTCAGAAAGATGCTTGTCAAGTTGGAGACCGCAGACACCAGTAGAAATATGTAACTAACGTATATTATACGTTAATAATATATGTATTTTACTGTTTATACAATGGTGCAAATTCTATGGTAACCCAGTGACCTATATTTTTATTATCTTAATAGTAAATACCTACTGATAGTGATAAAAGACCGTGTCAGGTGTGTTCGTTCTCACATTTATTTTATGCTTTGACGGTAACATTAAAGCAGTACTTGAACTAGTAAGTTTTAATGAAAATAAAATCCTATTGATAAAAATAAAATTGTTTTATTCAGCTGCAAAAATGCAGAAATAAGACATTATATTGTCGTTTCAAAAAAATTTCAGGCAAAGTAATATTTATTTTGAAAAAAAGACGGACGTTTATAAATTATTGGATCATAAGGAACTGTGCAAAAAGTACGGACCGTATATTTTGTAGAACAGGAAAAGTTTGTATAGTGGACAATAGTGTATAAATAAATACATATCTGTCTCCAGTGTGATAATTCATTCATTATTAGTTGTTATTCGCAATATTTTTATGAATTTAAATTTTACAAAAGAAAATTATCTTGTATAGGCAACCAACAATACACAACGTGATCAACAAGTACTGTTTCAGGCACAAAACACTTATTTCAGATTTCACTTTACTTATTTCCTGTTGCCAAAACTGACATGATTGACAGTGACATTCAATTTACGTCAAAATTTGTCATCAATTGTTATTAAAATGCCAAAAACCATAACCAAAGTTTTTTTAATGCTTAAAAGTGACTTCGCGCCAAGCATTTGAATTCTTTCAAAATTGGTTAATCCTATTGCCAACTCAAACAGCACCTGTTGATCACGCTGTAGTATTTATATATATTTCCCGCTCATTCTACCAGTATATTTTCCACTTATTTTCTGATTCTGGTTTTTTTCCTAATTTCATTTCACCTTTTACACGGAAAAAGTGACGCACTTTCTGCATTAGGACTAAACTAGTTTGGTTCATCTATAAATTATCACCTGCTGCCGGAGAAGTGGCCGCCAAAATTCCATTTAACTCTTTACACATACCCAACAGATGGTGCTATTTTACATTGGCTTTGGTCACGTGTCTACGTCTAGTTCCCTCCACTTGTCCATTTTCTTTATTTTTCTCATTACTCGTTTGTGAATTGTGTTTGCTGCTAGCAGCAACTCGTTAGTCAAAATTTACAAAATTATGTAATTTTTTAACGTTTTTTGTTTCTTTCCCTCTGGTAAGTTTATCAATATATATTTTTTTTATTCTAATTCACATTCACCTGTTACTTAACTCTGATGATGATATCTATAGAAACCTCTAACCAATTTTTAAATATTTATATACAGTCGTGACCAGAAAATCTTGATAATTTCGAAAATTTGGATGTAAGTAGTCTATGCCTTATTGCCACTTCGACGTATCAGCTTGCCCTCAACATCAAAAATGACAAAACTAAAAAAAAGATGGTGTTACAGGTGTTTTAGATTTTGTGACAGTGGAAAATTTTCTGGTTCCGACTGTATATACATGGTGTAAAAAAATAATTAGCTCTCCACTCAATTCAACACTGTGAGAATTGTAACTTTTACCGCTAACCATTTTTTTTAAATATAATAACAGTAATAACAACTTATTTGCTCAATAGATTTTTGTTGTATAGCTTTGTGTTATTGTTAAAATTGAACGTGCTTAACTCATTATATACACAAGTAATTCTGTAAAAGTAGTATTTCAACAGTCGAAACGTTACGAAGTTACATCTAGATCCTTGGCAGTGTTGGTCATTATCTATACATTTTTGGGTATCTATGATCTGTATATAGATAAAATCAAATTTAAGCACAAAATATCTGTATCTAGATACAAAATGAATGCCCAAGATACAGATACATCTTTTTTATTGTACTTTTTTTTATTAGTTGGTAGTTTAGTTACTGTAGTACTAATTTTGAAATTTCATGTTGGTGATGGTAGTTCCATCAGTGGTTCTATGACTCATACTTCATTTAATCATTTTAGCCATTTTCTATACCGTAGCCCTATCCATCTTGAAATATAATCCTGAAGGGTAATAAATGTGAGGTCCCGTAATTCTAAGATGGCATTTTAAATGCCATAAATCATAATTCACTATTCACTGAATTTTGCAATAAACCCTTGTCGGGACTCATTTTACCTGCTTAGGCAAGAAGTTGGTTGTAACGAAAACGGGTGTTCAGTTGAAAAATCACTTAGAGAAAGCGTTGGAATTTCATTTAACACAAACGGCATGTCTGTTATTATAACATCCACTTGGTAAAAACCCCTGTTATATGTTATAAGATAAGTAGAGAGCGGATTTTATGAAATTTGCATATCCGTTATTTTTTGCATATAAGTTTTGATATTTTGTATATGAACGAATCATGCTAATTAAAAATGAATACAGCTATAAAAAAAATTGCATATTTGCATATATTTGTCTTCTTATATTTTTGTGCTAATTTGAAAAAAACATGATTGTCATTCTATCTGCATTTATCTAGAAAAACGAAATTTTATGATTACCTCTAAGCTTCAAATAACTAGGAAAGGTTTGGGTTTTATGGTCGTTTGGAGAAACCACAGGGTGTTAAGCCATCCTTCCAGGTAAATTCGGGTCCTAATTACTTTTGGAAATACCGTTCATTCCCAGTATTTTTGTTCGTTACTTAAGTGTATTATTGTTATGTTTTATGGGTCGAAGGGACGTTATCCTATTATTTTTCATCAAAATTTCTTTAAAGGTACACTGACCGGCAAAAAATCGGCCACCCTGAAAAAATTTCGCAAAACTACTTTTAAAAGTTATTAATTTAACTAGTGATAGTTATTTTATTAAAGAACCATTCACTGTTGACACATGCTGTACAAATGAGCAAAAAAAGAAGACGCAGAATTAAATTTAATTTAACAAAATAACAGAAACAGATCAAGTACGATATTTTCTTAATTAAAACAATACAGGAGGCTGTTGTTCTAAAAAGTGTTTTATTGTAAGTTTGGCAGTTAATAAACGTTTTCACGCGAAAACAATGCATTAACTCTTACAGACGTTTCTCAAATTGTCGTTCTGTTTCTGTTATTTTGTTAAATTAAATTTATTTCTGCCTTTATTTGTCTTCTTTTTTTGCTAATTTATATATACACCATGTGTCAATAGTGAATGGTTCTTTAATAAAATAACGATCACTAATTAATAATTTTTAAAGTTAGGTTTTGTGAAATTTTTCAGGATGGCCGGTTCTTTTTGCCGGTCAGTGTAATATATATTTTCTAAAAAAAAAATATTGCTTATTACATAATGATTAATTTTTTTAATTAGTACAAATTAATTTGGTAATAGAATGTGAATCAATACTGCTGTAAAATGCTAATTTTTTAAACTTAACAAAATAGTTCCTTTTTCTGCAGCAGCGGAAGACAATTTCTTACACCGAAAAAAATTTACTTAAAAATAAGTTAAAACTTGTTATCAGTAGTTTTATTTTGGCCAAAGTTTCAAAAAGTATCTGTTTTTTGTATCTATTATCTAGATACATTTCGAAAAAAATGAATACAATCTATCTAGATAATTTTAAAAGTATCTGTCCCCAACACTGATCCTTGGTATTTTAAAAAGCGATAAATAAGGGTGGCCACAACATTGAACGTTTTTTGTTATCAGGGTACTTCCAGACAAAATGTTGTAGTAGAAAACAGTGATCATACCTTCGTTCAGGGTAAACGTGAAAAGTTTTGAAATAAGGAAACATATATGTGGGTACCAAATTAGACTCGAATTTTGAGCATATAAAAATTTTTGATTAAAAATTCAGTCCTTTTTAAACAGGAAGCCGTGATGTTTGCTAATGATATTTTTTGATCAAATCAACTCCGAAGTCCTGAAATGAAACTGTAGTAAAATAATAACGGATCATTATTTTTGTAAAACTCAAAATTTTACATTTAACGCAATATGTTGCGTCAATGATGTTTGATATATCATTTGTAAATAACAAAAAAAGCAGAGGCCTAGATTTGAGCTCCGCGGAACTCCAGAACAAGGGATAAAATAATTCGACTGATTGTTACTTTTTGTTATTTAATTATTTAGGCGACACTAAATAAAAAAAAAAAGAAGTTTCAGACCCTTGATAAAGTTTTTTCCATTTTTCTGTTGGTTTTAGTATATACATATATAAGTAAAAGGGTTAAATGTTATTGTAGTTTTTTTCGTACGAATCTGCAGTCCCGGAGTTTAGTAAGGGTAGTTAACAGAGAGGAACAATTTTTCTCGTAAAATTTCGGGACGCGTAGAGGGTTGCTGAACCCGGCTCGCGTCGTCCAGCAACCCTCTACTCGTCTGGAAACCAGGCATTTTTTGTACTAACGGGGCGAATAATCTTGAGCTGGTTGAAATTACCCACACACATAAATCAAAATACTGTATCTTTTACGTTGTATTCATGGTAGATAAGGATGATAGTGTAACAGAGTTAAATATAGATACGGATGTTCTCAATAATACAAAACATTGCCACAATGTCATTCAACAGAAAACGCGTAATTGCAATGCTTTCATTCTTAATCAGCAAAACAATTTGGAGTCGTATCTGTAGTCATCAGGGCGTCACCTTCCCTTGAAAAATATTTGTTGATTAGCGATTCGCGAACATTTGTTTCCCCGCTCCGGCCAGGTCGTTTTACGCAGTTTGTCGCTTTTAGGTCAAAGATATTAAAAATTCGCATAAAATCAGTCAATGTGTGTCCGATCCGTATCTAATTAGCAAGAAAAAGTGAGAATTATAGACGTAAACTGCTTCCTCAAACAAGTGACACACTTTGGCCTGTGGCCACGATAACGAACATTCGATCGTACTTGCAGCGATCATGTTGTGTTCAAGTCCATAAAATATTCAAACAATGTAGATAATGACACCGCCAACTATGCATTCTTATCGAAATGCACAATTTTAAAATCAAATATTGAAACGTTCCGGAGGAAAGTCAATAAAATTAACTCTCAACGCACACGCGCACACCTCTACACCACATTTGCCCGTGCGCAGTTCGAGCGGGATTCGTCCTGATTGGCACTGGCCATTGTGCCTGGCTGCCATGTTTTGTTAAACTGTGGGGTGTGTTGAAGAAATTCCACGTTTAAACATCAACCCCGTACTCTAAGGTAAGCCCAAGCGCATTTCCTCGCCCGCTGCCGCCGCCACAAAAGAAATTTCCGCGAGTCATTTGTCCCAATTCCACGCATCGAAATCGCAGCGTTTGTTGTGCAATTCAATGGCGCATTTCCACGAATTCGCGCTCAGAGGCCCCGTGCCGCCTCCAGGGGGGCCCGCCGCCTTCGCCCCTGCCCGGACCAATCCCACGCGATGGCCCCCAGCGCCAAATTCGCCCCCGTCATGGCCGGGTTAAAGCCCAGCCAACGTGATAGGCGTCAATATCTCGCGTTTGATTAAGTGATCATTGCCCCTGGTTTGATCCGCTGGGCTTGATCGCAATTGCCCGCGGGCGCGTTCGCGAGATGGGCACGTGTCCTTTGACGTGTTTTGACAGCTCCAGCGTATTTCGGTACGCGAAAATGCACCATCATCTGGGCGAGACTTGGGCTGTCCTTGTCCGGGCTATTTTTAACCCGAGTCTTTGAACCGCCGAAGTGACATTGTTTGGAGGGAAATTGATGTTTGGCTTTTGCAGGTTCACAATGGGGGGCACAAGAACTCAAGTTCTGCAGTGAATCAACGAAGAATCTGTTACTAACGATTGTTTTTGATGTTGACTTATTTCGCATTTTCTCGATTTTGATTTCGTTATGGATTCTGTTGCCGTTTTCACTTTATAATTTTACGATGCGTCCCAAGGAGGAGCGTTGCACTCTAGTACGCCCCAAAGAAGTTGAGACGCATACCTCACGTGAACCACTCAACTGCTGCATGGCTCATCATCATTATTTTTTATAAAGTGAGTAGTTTTTCGGTTTTGGTAAAAATTTTGAGTGTGAAGGAACGGAAGCGCTTTGATCAGTTACAGGTGTAACAAACAGGACCTACGTTTTTGTAGATACTCTATTTTTATTCGGTCGGAAAGGGGGAATATTTTAATAATTTGTGATGTACCATGGTAATGTCAAAACGTGTTCATGACATTGATCGTAGCGCCACCTACTGCGTTATTAATATCTAATCCATCACGTGAATGGGAAACTGTAAAGGCGGTGGATTTTGAACACTTGATGGCCTTCCTGCATTCCATTGCGCGTGGATCTCGCCAGATTATCACGTTTGAGTAACCTTGAATCGATAAATGTGAATATTTCCTGCATTGTTCAAATAATGCACGTTTTTGATTTCATTTTTAGTGCTCTGTATGGTATTTCTGCCTTTAAATAATTCAACCTTCTGTCATTTTTAAAGAATAAGTGATTTGTAGATGTCAGCCGTCAGCCTTCATATTTTGCTGATAATGACCGTCAATATCCGATTTTTGCTCTGTACTCAAGTTGTGATTGTGTATTGTCATGAACTGAAAATAATGGGTTGTTAGATTAAACCATTTGAATATAATGAAAGCTATTCTTTTTGGTAACACTACATTGATTTTCTCTTAAAAATGAAAAAAACAAAAAACGTTAAATTTTTACGATAGTGCTTCAGACTGGTAATTTTAAAATAAACCAGTAGAAGTTTCGCGTTTGAATAGTGTTGAATAGCGGCTCGATTTTTTATGAATTTTCATTTTGGATGTTGCAATCATGTCTTCATGATTGGATTAAAAAGTAAGTGTGTATAAATGATCATCATTGAAAAACTTTGTTGTTTGTTGCCATTCTGAAATACAAATCAGTTATTTTGAATAAGGTTAAATTAGTAGACAACCCACAGTGCACTCAAGGTAAAAAACGCAAGTTTATGTGTTTACAAACGGAAGAAAAGTTTTAAGACGCCATTGCGAAAGTTATGTAACTTATTCTATAATCTATTTCTATTAAGTGTATTAAAACACGCACTGCGATATTTTTGGCGTTTCAGATGATCTTCAGGATCACAGTTGCTCGTTATGGGTGGAAATTAAATTTCTATTTGAAGACATACCTTAGTTAATGGTTTTTTCCTTTAGGTATTCAGTAACTTCGTGATAAGATATTGGGTTTTCCTAATGACTCCACTTTGTTTAGACTTCCCATCTCCATAAATCTGTGTACAGAGTGCGTGTTGATTTAAAGAAGTTTGGGTTAGGTTAATATTTGAAAACTTATCACATTCTGACTGCGTCGGTATGATTTCGATAATACTTCAAAGTAAATTTGTTTCTATTATTCCAAAACATGATAATTCACTGTACGCAAATTTTATAGTTTATAGTTGTTCGCAAGTAATAAACTTCAGAGCCTCTTTCTAGGATATTTGCTATCGCTTACTCCAATTAAAACGCTAAGAAGGGTCGTAAAAATGCAAATATCTTTCAAGAATTTTCATAATTGAAAGATGGCTGAAATTGTCCCACTACTGACCTGAGTACATGATAATGCATTTTTGTGTCATCATCCACTTTCAAAAGTTTTCAGTTGGGTCACATTGTTAATGAAACAAACTGGTTCACGCCTAGGCCGTGAAAGTGACATTAGGTGGTAGCCGTGATTTCAAATGCCAAAGTGACATTGAAGTGTCAAAATGATTATTATTCCCAGCTGTGAATCAATCAGGAGGTTGTTTTTAGTGTAAAATTCTTGTATGAAACACCTGTTTGAACGTACGTAATTGTAAATAATGCGTGAGCACCTATTTTTAACCAAACTTGTTATTAATAATTTTTATGGATTTTTAGGTTAGGTGTCAGTTGGTTACCAACTTTGAAATGCAGTTCCCTAAACAATGAATTCAATTCGAAATGAAATCAAATTTTTGTACAATAATCATATTGAATTTGACTTTATTTTCTATCGTGTCGTGACACCAATGTGTCGTCTATTTGACTATAAATTATTGTAAAAAATTACAGAATGTTGATCCATTAACTTGGACAAAGTTCGAGACACACAGTTTGCGGCAAAAGATCAAAAGTGAAATGAGTTTCACTGGACATAAAGAAAGTAATAAATCGGTGATATACATTTCTGTTCCTAATTGTTATATAATTTTGGTTTAGTTAAACTATGCTAATGATTGAAGAACTTAATTCTTTCAAGGAAACGATTAGAAGGAAGAATTTAAATGCATGGTCATCACGCTAATCGTTGCAATTAGTGAACAAAATGGCGTCTTTTGTAAAGTCCGCAATTTGGTGAAAAGAATTTGTTTGGTACATCAACATGTTGATAACGTAGATATTAGAGTGATGCATAACTGAAAAGCTATGCATGAGCGTAAACAACCATTGTTTACGATAGATAGCTGTTATTATCTCCGCGACCAGTGATGGCGACTTGTGCCTACATGTCGTCTACGATTATTTTCGGGGAAAAACGCAGAAACAATTGTTGAACTTTATCAGGCGAAAATTTTTCCGGGAAAATTACGCAATCGATAATACATTTTAAAGCATGTCGATATCCTCGTAACAATAACCAGAATAGATGGCGATTATAGATATATCATTTTTATTACCGTAAAGATTGTAACGTGATTCCACTGGTGTTACTATAACTTACGACTAATAAATTTGATTAAATTACGGCAGTAAGCATCGAGACCGAATTCATATAAACTTCCCCGAACGTTCGTCGCCGAGAAAAATAAAACCGAAAAAATGTTAAAGCAATTATTATTATTCTAAACATTACACACTAATCGTGGTTCATTTGTTATGCCTGTTTTGTGCCGTCTTGTTTTTGCAAACGCTAATGTGTTTTTGTGTTTACCGAAAGCGATAATTTCTTGCCGTCGATATTGTTTTGGAAGTAAAGTTAATCCGTTCCTTAGCCAGTACCGCGTTGACATCTCCGGGGGAACGTCTGGTTCATATTTTCACCATGATGTGTTTGTGTGCAGCATATTATGAAGTATCCGCAACTAGTGTCCATGCCCTCGGCAGTTTCTGATTGGCTAGAGGAACAGTTGGAAGCTCGTGGAATAGATGCTGTAGTATATACTCGTTACATACTAAGTCTTTTACACAGCGATACTGTAGATGTCATTTATTCTGATGAAGATCTACATTTTTCTCACTTGAAAAAGGTAAGGATTCGTACGATTTATTATTAGATACTGATTTGTATGAGCAGGAAGTGAGACGATCGGGTGGAAGTCGTAAGCGCTTTCGTCGCTCCTCTGACTGGTGGAAGTATGCACAAGCTGATGCTGAAAAGCTCAAACGATCTGCTGCTGTAGAATGTTTGATGTCCGCTTCTGAACAGGTATGTTTTTATTATTATTTTGATCAATTTTGAGCAAAGACTTGCTTGAATTCAATTTAATTAGGACTTGTCTATTGTGCAAAGGAGTGATGTCATACATGAAATACATGAGTGTTAAATACACATAAAATTTTAAATAGTTATTTAAATCATTTTTGCGAAGTATAAGAGTGATTAGATAAAGTAAGCTCATTATCACAAAACATGTATGAATTTAAGCTTTGATTAAACACATTTTCAGTGAACAATATGAAGTAAATAAATATATAGAAAATGAAAAAAAAAAAAAATTATCAACACCATGAAATTGATAGTGACTTCCAGTGTCATGGGGAACGAAATGTGAATGAAATGTCTGTCATGTTACATAATGATGATGTCAATATTACTTACTCTTTATTGGTGCTCGCAAGTAGCGCCGTGTGAACTTACTATCAGACAAAAAATACGTTCGTTTTATTGTTTTTCTCAACAATAATGTGTCTTTTCAAGGATTTTCTTCTTTATAGTTCATTTTTTTTTGTAATTGTTTTTAAAATGTTTGAGCAATGTTCATAATTTTAACGATATAACTACAAAAAAAGTCTAATTTTTGAAATTGTCTATTTGTATTTGTGTTCGTGTTGTTTCTTACCCTTAAGTGGAATTTTCGTGATATCACTGTGTTACAAACTGGCCTTACGGTGTTAAACTGTACAATAGTGCAGTAATTACTCACGATTATTCTAAAGACTCACTTGAATTATGTATATGTGTAGTGTTTGAAATCAGTGTATTATTGTTTATTCGCAGACCCGACGAGAAATGACTTGATACTGGAACGAGTTGAGTGGAGATTTTAAAAGATAATTTCCATTTAGTAACAACGACATACAATTTATAGTCTTACATTCATATTTTTCTGATCTACGTTTACAGAAATGGAGAAAAAAATAATTTGGATAATTAGACTCTGCGTTTATTTATTCATTTTTGCTGAGGAAAAATCTAGTGAGTCCTTAATAAATATTTTCTTAGATTATATTGTCGACTAACGTAGTTCTGCCATGGTCCCTTTAGTCGCCAAGAAACATTAATCACTCTGTTGAAACCATAAAACTGCTCTTTTGTCGTGATTATTTGTGATGGGCCAAAGTTAATTACGAAAGCTACTAAACACTACCCGTTAGAAATTCTAGTGGCAGAAGAGTCTTTCGGTAAACAGGGAGAGTTTTCGGCTAAAGCCTTATTCTTGTTGATTATTGTTGTGCTATTGTTTTATGTGCTGGATGGCACATAAAATCATAAATTTCGGGTGATATTTTTATATCGGCAGCTTTTGGAAATGAAACAGTGCATAAAATTAAATTCTGATGGATTAACTTGAATAGCCTGATCTTTTTTAGTGTAAAAAAAGTTATGTATGACATAAATTAATTGTGCATAGTCATGTTAATGTTATGGTAACGTATCTTCTAAACCTAAACAAATATTCCAAGTTAAAATTAAGTATTTAAAAATTTCCTATTGTCGTTTAAGCTAACTGTATATTTAAGCTTGTCTAAGATAAGAAAACTATGCCACCAATAATAGTGTGCGAGAGAGAGGGACAATAGTTCAAATACTGTCCACTTGTTTTTGTCATAGCTGCCGCGACCAAGTTTGAATGGGTCACTGCGTCACTCTTGTTTTTACACACCATGTTTTTGTTTACTATATCAGCAGGTAGTTAATTTACGGTAATGCACTCAGTGCTACAACCAAACGGTTGTCGCCCTTTTCTTTTATATACTTCAGCGTTGGATTGATTATTTCTTCCTATATTTTTTAAATCAGTCCATACATCAAGTTGGTTTTGGAAAATATGTCGCTGCTTTTTAATAAGAATTTGCCGCTTTATTGGGTTAGGTAGCTAATGTACATTATTATTGGTCGCACCAAGCGATAAATACATTGAAAAAACTTGAAGATTATGTTCTGATTGACATTTGTGACAAGCAATTGTCAAGCATCACAACGAAGCGGCAAATTCACGAAATATCAAAACGACTTGATAAACGATTTTTTAGTTACCTTTAATAAATGATTCATATCGTTCCGCCTCTTTCGTGTAACTGCCTGATTTGTTGGTGCTACGTGTTTAACTGGTTGCATAATTACAACCGCACAAATTATTCTTTAATCAACGTAATCTAACGAGTTTAGTTAGGAAAAAACTGCTGTGTAATCGATTAATGCCACTGAACAACGATGAAACAATTTTATTCCTAGACGAAGATGACTGAAATGACGTATCAAATGTCATAATTATTTTGACAGATGACATATTAATCAAAATTACAAGTAATCAAAATTAAAAGTGTCCATGATCACGAAATGTGGCAAATCTACGACTTTTGTAAATTTCATAGGTTACTGGATGTACGAAATATTAAGAAAGCCTCGTGTAAACGACCAAAGAATGGTATAAAAAAATGTTCATAACCTCTAAAGCTAATTTGTTACGGTTTGCATTTCAACTGATGAAAATATCTGGCAGGGCTCTCTTTTTTGTCGTCTCAGGTTTGCGCAGGTTTTGTTTATCGATTCTTCTCTAACTGTGAATTCGAAACGAACATTACGGTTTCGTAATTAAAAAAAACAATTATTTTTGCATCGTTGTATATCGTGCAATCGAAAATAAAATGAATTGAAGTTGGCGTGGCTTGTCAAGCTTTAGGTGGTATTACTGCGTCCAGGTTGTTGTAAATTTACGCCAACATGATGCTTAACAATCAGTTTGTCGCTGAGTGTTGCCACAACATGAAAGCGTGGGTCTTTGCAGCACGTCAGTTGTGCAGTCGTACCAATACAATTGGTCACAGAGCCAACTGTAATTTGTTTTATTTTCCATCGCAAGTTATACATTTGTGCCAAGTTTATACGAGCCACTTCAAGATGGTCCATTTGGCTTCATTTTGATGGCACATTTTCATGACCCAAAGCTGCCGAGATGTAGGGCGTGTCGCAAAAATATCACCCTAAATTGTTACCCCGCGCAATAACACTCGATGAGAACGAGTGTTAAAGGACTGCGGCGCAACTATAGTACGTATTTGATAGCTTTTGCTTGACGCGTCTTTTTTTATTTGTTCCAGACTTGTGGTATAGAATCCCTCATCGACGAGTTATGCGAGAAGCTGAACGAAATCAAGAGTGACGTGCACAACGTCGATCCGCCCACAAAAAAAGCGAATCCAGAGCTTCAACAGGTTTCCCCCCAAGAGTTGGCCAAACGCTACTACGCCGCTTTCCCTCCGCTTAACCGCAACACATCAGCCTCTCCCTCCAAATTGATTTCATTGATACCCAAGTGGATACCGTCGCCTAAAAAGAAACCCGCCTCAAACCGCAAACAGAACAATCGTTCGTACGAAGACACGATGAAAGCGAATCGAACCGCCGGCAAGCAACGCTACGGCACGTACTTCTCCGGCCGCAGCAACAATAACAAGAAGGATGCAGTCCGCGACAGCGATTGGAGCATGTCGAAGAAGTCCCGCACGGAAGCCGTGCCGAAGCCGGACGACGCCAACTCGGATTGGAACATGAGCGAAGATGCCAACCTGTACGACGACCTGCCGGTGGACATCAAGGAGCTACTGGACGACTCGCCGACCAGCCACGACGTCACTGTGGAGATGATGAACCTGGCGAACATGCGTGACACTGGACGGAGGGGTTTCATCCCGTGCGGGACCAACATCACTAGCTCCATTTGGACGAACGAGGCGGCCATGGGGGAGGACAACGCCCTCTTCGACAACAACTACAACTCGGCCATCGTCGGCTCCGACTCGGTGCTTGATCTGCAGTTCAGCTCGATCACGATCAATAACAAGGCCGACTGGTCGAGCGACTTCACTTTCGTGAGGGACAACGAATGCAATTCGTTTTTCGAGAACTCGAAGAGGAACGTCTGGGATTTACCGAGCAGCGGACGGTGGTCGGATGATAGCGGCTGTTTCGAGGATGACCACGCTCTCAACCACTTCACTTTAAGTTTGGTCAAACTTAACCACAGCAAGGAAGTCAGCGCTTTTGCAGAGATCATCCCGAAGAATCGCACGCACCACTTCAATCCTTTCTCGAAGGTGATCGGCTCGGGGATTCACAGGGACACTTCGTTGAAGACCGTCGATCTCGATAAAGAGAAAGACGATTTACTCACTTCGGTTCACAGCCATTTTCGGCCAATAAACGAGAAGCTCGATAGCTACTTGCAAGGGGCGTACGCAGATGGCGCCACTTTCGTCGTGTCGAACAGCTGGGATAAGATCAACTATCGCAGGACGGAGAGTGGGGCGATGTATATGGAGAACGACTATAGTATGCGGAAGAAATACTGCGAGTACAAGGTGAAGAACGGGCCGACTAATATGGAGTTCGTTTTGAAATATCTGGTGTGCCAGAACGATAAGGGTTGTCAGACTGAAGATGTGGACGCCGAAGTGGAGGCTATTAATTCGGATCGTGAATTAAAAGATGAGCGTCGCGCTGAGGAGAAAGCGGCTTCATACAACTGTACTTGCAGGACCTTGGCCACGAACACGGATCATTCTCTCGGTGATTGTCTTGTACACCCTAATAGACCGGACAGTGCGGGTCTGTCGGAATTCATGTGGCAACAACAGTCGTGCGACAAATGCAATAATAATTCGTCGTTTTGGAACATGGATGGCTTGAAAAACGACAGAAAGGAATTGGGCTGGCAGTTCGGGACCATGAGCAAAATCTGGAGCGGTGGAGTGGTAAGGTTTCTTTCATTTATTTTCCGTCGGCAATGAAAAGGGCTTCTTAGAAGGGGACTTGGAGGTCAAAGGGTGGGTCGTTAATTGGTAGGGAACAGTTTCCGGTTTCTGCTTTCCAGTTTCCATGAAACGCAATGTAAAGGGCTTATTAGAAAGGGGTAGGAAACATTGGGGGACAAAATATCAGTCTTTGTCCGTTTGTAATACGGAGGGAACTGAGTTTTCGGTTTCATTCTTATGTTTTCTATGAAATGCGCCGCAAAAAGTTAATTAGCAGGGGCTAGGGAGGGAACAAAATTTTTAAGTCTTCGAACGGAATGGACGCATGTTTTTAAATTTTTACTGTAAAATGTCAGTAATTTATAAATCCGAAGTAATTTAAGTATAAAGTAACGGGAAGTGAATTTTGGAGTTCACATTTTTCTACTACATTTTGCACTTTTTTAAAATCTTTTTCAGTATATTGTAGTTTGACTTGGTTTAATTTGTGACCATTCAAAATGAACAGAAAACAAGAAATTGCGGGGAAATACTATAGAAACAAAAAGTGGATTTTTTTTTTATCATTTGATGAGATATCTCATTGTTATACTGAATATTTATGAAATTTTTGTCTAATGAGATAAATCTTTTAACCAAAAAAATGCCAAGTTTACGCACAAAGCTTAGTTTAAAAAATTAAAACCCATTGAATAAAAAATATAACAAGCAATAATTTATTGCAATAACTGAAATGATGATCAGTGACCCGAATTAAATTGCGGAATCGGATCGCACACGAAAGTATTGACGGAACCCAGCTGAGACAAGTATTAGGTTTCTCCGCCTTTTTTTTGTGGGTTTCCATAATCCCATAAACACTTTGGTGTATAGAATTAAGTGGACAAAAACTAAAATTTCTTGGTTTGAAAGCTGTAAATTCGAAACGAGAACTTGATAAGAAAATGTACATATACTAGATGAACTTAAAAAAAAACCGGAATAAATTTTTTACGGGTATATTTTAGATGGGAAGTAGACTTTTAATTAATATGATATCTTACACATTAGTTCTTTTCTACATATCTGACATTTCGTAGTAAATTTGGGCACATTGTATACTATAGATACAATAAAACATCACATCTGATTGCCACAGAAAGTTGAAAAGAAATTTTCCGTACAATAAAATTGTTTTTATTTGTATGATTTTCAAATTATCGTTGACATGCGACAGATATTTTTTTTAAATTTCCCAACAGGAGGGCATGCGGGCATAAATCGAATGTGTAATAACGTCAAGAAATATTTTTATGGGTCAGGAATAAGAAAATCTGTAGAAAATTAAGTATACAAATCTGACAAATGTCAACGATTTAAATATTCAAAACTAAACATTCAACAGAAAAAAATTGTGCACACATTTTAGGTGAATTAACGAAACACCCAGACGAAAACTTAGGAAAATGTTAAACTTAGACATTCCCACCCATCAATTCTGTATTTTTTTTTTCTTCTGAAATAAGAAATTAATTTTATATATAGAAAGTTATATAACTTATACATTCCCACCCATTAATTCTGCATTTTTTTTTCTTCTGAAATAAGAAAGAAATTTTATAGTAAATAATACAACAAAAAAGTTACGATTGACGCTTTTTCACCTTTTTTTCCATTCTTTTGCAGCCTAGGTTATATTAGTTTCCATTACCATTCTACAGAAGAACATATAATTAACCCCGCCCACCCACCCCGCCTCCATTTCAGTGATCAATTTCATTTGGTCTCAATGAAAGCTGCATCTTAGAACAGAAATAAAATTTGTCGTTACAATGAGAAGAGGGCGGGTGGGCGGGGCTAATACTTTCTAAGAAAAGACTGATTTTGGCAGATCTTTAAATGACATATTCTCTAAGAAAATATTAAGGCAAGGTGACTAAAAAATTTTGTGCAAAATTGCTATCTTCCATTTTTCAAAATGGCGGAACTAAAAACAAATACCTAAAACACTTAATCAAAAAAATTTGTTTTTATTTGTATGATTTTCAAATTATCGGTAATTTAGACATGCGACAAATATTTTTAAATAATTTTTACATGCTTCCGACAGGAAGGCATGCAGACATAAATCGAATGTATTATTATACGTTATTACGTCAAGAAATATTCTTATTGGTCAGGAATAAGAAAATCTGTACGGAAGTGAGACGAATGCCAACGATTTAAATATTCAAAACCAAACATTCAACAGAGAAAAATGTCGGCACACATTTCAAATGAATTAATAAAACACCCAGAAGTAAGAAAATTAAATTTAAAACTTGGGGAAAACTTAAACTTAGACATTCCCACCCATCAATTCTGTATTTTTTTTCTTCAGAAATAAGAAATAAATCTTACAGCAAATAATACAACAAAAAAGTTACGATTGGTGCTTTTTTCACTTTTTCTCACTTTGTTACAGCGTAGGTTCTATTAGTTCCCACTCCCGCTCTACAGTAGAAAATATAATTGAATGGTGTATCTTATACTGAACAGAATTAAAATTTGTCGTTACAATGAGAAGAGGGTGGGCGGGCGGGGCTAATACTTACTAAGAAAAGACTGATTTTGGCAGATCTTTATCAATAACATATTCTCTAAGAAAATATTAAGGCAAGGTGACTAAAAAATTATGTGCAAAATTGCAATCCTCCATTTTTCAAAATGGCGGAACTGAAAACAAATACCTAAAAAACTGTTAATAAAAAAAAATGTTTTTATTTGTATGATGTTCAAATTATCGGTAATCTAGACATGTGACAAATATTTTTAAACAATGTTTACAAGCTTCCCACCGGAGGACATGCAGGCATAAATCAAATGTATAATAATGTCAAGAAATACATATTTTTATTGATCAGGAATATGAAAATCTGTAGAAAATTTTGTACAAAAATGTGACGAATGTCAACGATTTAAATATTCAAAACTAAATATGCAACAGAGAAAAATGTCTGCACACATTTCAAATGAATTAATAAAACACCCAGATGAAATAAGAAAATTAAATTTAAAACTTAGGGAAAATTTGAACTTAGACATTCCCAACCCATCAATTCTGTAATTTTTTTTCTTCTGAAATAAGAAATAAATCTTACAGCAAATAATACAACAAAAAAGTTACGATTGGCGCTTTTTTCACTTTTTCTCACTTTTTTACAGCCTAGGTTCTATTAGTTCCCACTCCCGCTCTACAGAAGAACATATAATTAACCCCGCCCACCCACCCGGCCTCCATTCCAGTGATCAATTTTATTTGCTCTGAATGAATGGTGCAACTTATACTGAACAGAATTAAAATTTGTCGTTACAATTAGAAGAGGGCGGGTGGGCGGGGCTAATACTTACTAAGAAAATACTGATTTTGGCAGATCTTTAAATGACACTTTCTCTAAGAAAATATTAAGGCAAGGTGACTAAAAAATTGTGTGCAAAATTGCAATCCTCCATTTTGAAAATCTGTAGAAAATTTTGTACACAAATAAAACGAATGTCAATGATTTAAATATTCAAAACTAAACATTCAACAGAGAAAAATGTGTGCACACATTTCAAATGAATTAATAATACACACAGCCGAAGTAAGGAAATTAAATTTAAAACTTCAGAAAAAGTTAAACTTAGACATTCCCACCCATCAATTCTGCATTTTTTTCTTCTGAAATAAGAAATAAATTTTATAGCAAATAATACAATAAAAAAGTTACGATTGACGCTTTTTTCGCTTTTTTTTTCATTTTTGTACAACCTAAGTTCTATTAGTTTCCACTAACAAAGTAACCACGCCCACCCACCCCGCCTCCATTTCAGTGATCAAATAAAATTTGTCGTTACAATGAGAAGTGGGCGGGTGGGCGGGGCTAGTACTTACTAAGAAAAGATTGATTTTGGCAGATCTTTAAATAACATATTTTCTAAGAAAATAGCGGTGTTCCATTTTAAAAACACCCTATACAATAAATTGTTTAATTTGTTGTAAGTTATTATTCATTTTTCAAAATGGCGGAACTGAAAACAAATACCTAAAAAACTGTTAATCAAAAAAATTTTTTGGGTAATGCCTAAATTCTTACTCGGTGTGTTACAAGTTTAAATACAAACAAAATAAAAAATTATCGGGTACCGCAGTTCGTAAGGAATGTTGAAAAATTACACTGTACATCCGACCGTGTTCCTCTAAATTTGTACTCCCGAAGTTATTAGTCGGAGTATATAAATTAAAAAACGATAAAGTAACTAAGATTTCGTGACACCATAGTAACTAAGATAAAATGATGAGAATCTCCATCATGTTAAGTTAAATAATTCTCCATTACATTAATAAAAACGCGTGTTAAATACGGTCAGAAACAGTTGCTCATTACACACTTCACTGTGAGAGGAGTGTGCGAGAATAAAAATTCAAAATTCAAGCCGTAGAACAAACACATCAATGTTTAAAACTAAATCTTGAATACCGCAAATTACTATTTTACAATTTCCAAATGAGACTTTATTAAATTATGATATAAATAGAATATAAATTGGGACTCAAGTTTGTTAATGCTAAGCATAATTTTTTTAAAGTGATATGTGCAACTCAATTTTTAAAGTGCAACCCGTGAAACCTGTCATTCCTCGTGTATTTAAGATAGCTTACGACCGAGGCGTAGCCGAGGTGTTTTCTCTTCTTCATGTACAAATTAATCATAATCGTATAAAAACCTAAAATTGTAACACCTCTAGAATGAGTTTTTTGTTATTTTGCAGGTGTGCCACGCATGTTTAGGCCGACCTCCTTCGACTTTGCAGCATAGCAAACTCCGTGAAGACATCAGTCAAGACGGCGATCAACTCCTGTCCGACTTGAGCACCATTCAGAAATCGTACATGCAAGAAAGTCTACCGGTGACCGAGTTCACTTGCGACATCAGTGAATTTCTTCTGCCCAAAGAACGCAAGCGTCGCCATTCGTTGATGGCGACGCAAATGGACGACTCGTGGAGCTTCGCATCCCGTCTAGAAGAAGATTGCCTCATACAGATGTCTACGATACCTACGTTGCGTTCGGTCACCTTGTAAACGGGGTAGGTCAATCGAAATCTCTCGGTAACACACGGCCGATCAGTGGCGTAGGATCATACGTCACCGCAAAACGTGGTACTGCCATATTAATTTCAGTGCAGTCTTAAATGTTGTCCCTGTCCATTAAAAAATCTTTCCCCTTTTCTTGAGACGGGCAAATATGTGACGCTCGTGTGTTATCGATTGTTAATAAATTATTAAATCAATTGTGAATAGCGGGCGGTCGCGCAAGACCAGTGATGCTTTTTGTTGTTTTGTTTATTTTGGTTGTTTTTTTTTAAAGATGCTTGAGTTGTGGGGCGACATGTCTTGCGCGGACCGCCATTTGTATACAGTTATTTATATAAGTATATTACGTAGGGGAAGTTTTATTTTAGTTCAATTTTTTATAGCTGAACCTACACCTCTAGCGAATTGTTTGTTTTTAATTGTTGAATGTGTACCATACCAAAAACTAAACCATTTTAAACTTACGTTGGTATGATTAAAATGAAAAATTTCGGCAGGTAAGATGGGGTTATCGGTAGCTCACCTTTGAATTGGTTGCGTTTGTACCCATTTTAACCTTAAATATGTACAGAGGTTCTATTTTCCTAAGAGCACTCATGACATTTGTACTTGCCGGATCACATTGCTTAAATTTCTATTGTTCTTGTTGCGTTCAATCGTGCATAGGCCTACGATTTCGAGCAAGATTTTGCGCAAAGGCAGCTCTCCTGTCTTCGCAACGCAGGGCGATAAATGTCATTGTAGGGGGAAGTCGGGACGTGAATCTCCGTTCCTGGATAACCGATAGGTGGCTTACCTCCTCGCTTACCTTGATTTCAAATAAGCACGAAATCTTTTGTTTTCAAAATCCGGGGACGTGTTTTAATTTTTGTTTGACTAAAATCGCCGATTGTCGGTCTTTGTTTTTTGATTTGTTTTCGTTGTTAAATTTTATAAGGGAATGAGGGTAGTAAATTGGGAAGAGCAGTCGGTGATCGAAAAACAAAAAAAAAAAAAAAGTTATTTTGATCTGCACACATCCGTACTGGGAGCCGATCACATCGCGATGCAGATCAGCAAATCTTTATTTCCCATCATTTTCTTTCGCTAATATTGTAACCCAACAATATAGTTGAAGATGTGTATCTATGTATAATGTTTAGGGCATTTTAGTATAGCTCTTGAAGTGCAGCATTGAACACCTGTAGTTGCTCGGGACTGCGCATCTTGTGCCTTGGCGCCAAAATGCGCCGGTCTCCCCTAGCTGTATTTTTCGAAATATGTAACTATTATAAATATTGGAAATGGGTACTACCATTACTGGTTTATATTTAGTTTTTGTTTTTGTTTAAATATTTCTGTAGAACGATTAGGGAGAGCGGCGTAAATTCTCACCGCAAGTTAGTCATTCGGAGCCAAAGTATCGTAGCATCGTAATATTACTCTGTCCCTGTTTTCGGGCCTCTCTCTAATCGATATAACCGAATGTAATATTTCTTCTTATCAATTATATACATAATAAGAGAAAACAAAAAAAGAGAAATCTGTTAGTTTTTAGAATTGTGTTCTGGTAATTGACGCCTTTTCTTCGACGGGCGTCTAGTTTTAGATAATTTTTTGAGAGAAAACCATCGCATATCTGATACAGTTTATATTTTTTGAAGTGCTTCTTTGGTCGTTTCAAAACTTAATTGTGTGTCTGTGTGTGTTGGACGTGTGCGTGTGCGGATGTCTCAGTTGATCAAAATTCTGTTGTGCTCTAAAATGTGAAACTTTTCCATTCATCAGTGTATATTCAATCGCACCTAAATCAGTCATAATGAAGCACAGCAAAAGTTTCCACCATTAGTTTCAGTCTTGCCATCTGCTAAATTAGGAACTAACCTCAAGAAAGGTGCTGTTGAATTTATTGTATTTCCATCATTTTTTATTGTATGTTGTAATTAATACTGCAATAATTTTATATAAACGTATCGTCGTAACTCGTTCACTTCATTAGTTTGATTTTTCCTTTGATTTCTTTCCATTGAATTAATTATATTGTGCATACGTAATAAAGTGAACTTGTTATTAAAAATATTTCATAACGGAGTAATGCAATAATTAAAGGCGACTTTAATTATTGTAGTGCTTTTATTTTATTTAGCTGCATTAGTGATTGGTGTAATAGTTTCGGGCATTGATCATTTAAAAAAAAAAGTAAATTTGCCAATCACTGTATGCACCTGAAGATGTTAGTGTGTAGCATAACCTTTTATTTTAGTGCCTATTAAAACTAGTATAATTTGACCTTTTGCCTTATCAAACGTTACATGTAACCATCTTTGTATGTTGTTTACATAGAAATTTTCATCAATGTAACATATTCAATTGACTCAATTATTACGAAATAATGCAGTTTGTGGCTTAATTAATTCATAGTTTAATTATTATTATAATGAAAAAAACTTGAAAAAATTAAAAAACAGAAATGTGAAAATGTTTTGTTCAGTTCTATTAGGTCAGTGTACAATACTTACAAACTTATCAAGACATAATAAAATAATTCATCGTCATCAAAATCATTAAATTAAAAAAAATATAAATAAAACTGGTGTACTTGCTAAGCAGTTTGTTAGTTTTCATATTTTATAAACCAATACATACTAACCTGAATCAGGAAACTTAATAAGTTTGACATTAAACTAAATAAAGCAAGTACAAAACATTTTGTTTTTTTACTCATATCCTTGCCTTGTTCCTTCTTTTGAACAGTTTCAGATATATTCAGCGTCTTTGCCAGTGAAGACTTAACTGAGACTCGTTTCAACCTTATTTTTGTAGTTTAATTGACAAACCAAAATTTTGAATATACTTTGTTTACTCTTAACGGAGTTAATAAAAAAAAAAAAATTGAATCTTCATCTCGTAGTAAATACAACGGGCCAATGAAACACAAAAGCGGATGTGGGTGGAGTTAGTTTTACCTTTTTTGTCGAGATTCCGCTATTCAATATACATACTATCCATTTTTCCTCCAATGAAATAAGTGATTAACAAAAATTGGGTGGGTGGGCGGGGCATTTTGAAATTTTTTTAAACGAAAATGCGACCACTTGATAAAATAAATTTTAATCTTCATCTCGCAGGAAATAAAATAACCCGATGGAACACAAAAGCGGATGCGGATGGGATTAGTTTTACATTTTTTGTCTAGATTCTTGATTTTTCCTCGAATGAAATGAGTAATCAAAAAGAAAACGGAATGAGTGGGCGGGGTCACTTACAAGTATTTTTTTATCGAAAATTCGACCACGTGGCAAAATAAAATACTTCATATGGTAGTAAACAAAATAACTGAAATGCAGAACAAGAAGTGGGTGTGGCTAATTCTACCTTTTTTGTTATCAATACACAATCCACTTTTCGTCCAATGAAATGGGCGATCAAAGAAAAATGGGGTGGGTGGGGCCACTTTGAAATATTTTTTAAATCGAAAATGCCACCACTTGACAAATTAAAATTCACTCTTGAACTCACAGTAAATAAAATAAGCCAATGAAACACAACAGCGGATGTGGGTGGGGTTAGTTTTTCATTTTTTACCACTTGCCGAAATAAATAAAATTCAATCTTCATCTGACAGTAAATAACATAAGCCATTGAAATTCAGAACAAGAAGTGGATCCTGCTTTTCTTTTTTCTATATTTCACTGCTTATCAGTACAAAGTCTACTTTTCGTCCAATGAAATGAGCGATCAAAGAAAAACGGGGTGGGTGGGTGGGGTCACTTTGTATTATATTTAATCGAATGTTGGACCACTTGACAAATTAAAATTCGATCTTCATCTCGCAGTAAATAAAATAAGCCAATAAAACACAAAAGCGGCTGTGGGTGGGATTAGTTCTATTTACTGTTTATTTGTTCTTGTTGGATATTCTCTCATTCCTTTAAAAGCATATTCTGAACCTCATCTAAAGTGTGGGGTGCAGGTGGACTCAATTAATATGCTGGTCAAGAAACAATATCAAAAATAAGCGTAGTAAAAACGTCGAACCATTGTACTCAGAAAAATATTAGCTGGTCCGTTTTTCATGCGGACGAGTGTAGGTAGAATTTCTTGAAATTATTTTAATTTTGCGTGTCAAAATTTTTTATTTTTTTGGAGGATATTTATTAATTTTAATTAATGTTCCGTAATCTTTACTCCGTGTTTGTTAGTGTCTGCAGAATTTCAGCCGAGTTTGAAATTTTTATAAATTTATTGAACAACGTTTACAATGACCTTACCAATTTTTCGAAGGGTTGAGAAGTTAATTTTTTTAAATAGCAAAGTAATGGGGTAGTTTCGAAGATTATTTATTTACAAAGTCGCTAGCAGGTAGACGAACAAATAGAAAACTGGATTTTTTCTGAGGTCTGAAACATTAAACGAAACTTGACATTTGGTAAAATGGTTCTATTAATCTTATTATAGTAGGAAGCAAAAACGTACGAGGACTAGTTTCAGGAACTCCAAATACTATCATTTATTTTTACTATAGTTACTACGAATTACTACAGCAATTTTAATTTTCTCAAGTTTTACTATTCGGGCCTGAATATCTGGTTGCAGCGATTGCTGCTTGAAGACATGTAAAATGTAAAACATTAATCTAACCATAGATGGCGTATTCCTCGACGACAATGTAAAACCAGTTCATTTTATATTTTTAAAATGCATCCGTGTATCAAACTAATGTAGCAACGAAAATATTTATATGTTTATAAACATAAGTTTATACTTCTAACAATAATAAGCCCTATTTCGAGGATTTTGTTGCAAACATGACGTATAATAAATGACGTGATATCTATCAATAATCTGAGATTGAGATTGTCAACTTGAAATCTTTCTTTACATGATTACACTGTGGTATGACTTGAAAATTTTAATTTTAATTTTTTCTCTAGAGCCAAATGGTTCCTTTGATTTTGAGTTTGTATTTCTAGAGGACAGAACCAACGGAGTTCGTATACCAATACATTTTGAATTGTTTTCCAAGGAAGTAACAATACTTCCTTGGAAAACAAAAATGACAGTCATTTTTGTCTATTGGCGACAATTTTCGCGGTTAAGAGTCAAAGACAGATATTTTTCTGGCTTGGAACGTGTTGGTTTTAAAAAAGGGTCTTGACGTTTCGCCCCCTTTCTCACTGGCCAACTTCAGAAAATAAAAAAAAAGAAGAACGCAAAGTTTGGGAGAGAAGAGAGCGACATTGACAGTAAATCTCTTCTATTGTCAAGAAGTGATTTATCTTCAGTGTTGCTCCCTTCGCTCGTTTTAGAGTAGGTAGAATTCTAATTCTTAATTGGTTGTGAATGATCGTTATTTGATACAGTATCCAGGGGTGGGATTTTGTTTCTACCGATACAATACGAAGCGATAAATGACAAGGACGAAAATATAAATTTCAGATGCGAAAGAAAAAGACGACCCCATTTTATCGGTAGCGATATTTTATCGTTATGGAAACAAAATCCCACCCCAGGTATTTAAATCGACAACCAACACAACTGAATAACGCTTTGGCGGACAGCGAAAACAATGGAATTTAATCTTGTTATCAAAAATTAAACGATGCGATTTCTTTACCCTTTTCTCTAGAGACTAAATACGTGAGAAAACAGCACATTGGTCATAAAAGTTTCCTGGGTTTATAACTCTTCGATTCGACATTCTTTTTGATAAATCGACTGCGAAGTTTGACGAATTTTTATAGTTTCACTGGTTTTTTCTTAGTTCTGACAGATTTATGATTGTGTATGATTTTTGAAAAGTGCTGGTTTTCGTTGCGTTTCGTGAAAACAACTCTTTTACACTTTTAAAAAAAGCTGTCCTTATTAGTTATTTTTATTCAGTTTTTTGTTCAACCTTAAGTTTTCCAATCTGAGAATTTAAAAAACCTACTTGCAAGAGATGAAAATTAGAGTAAATATATGGAAATCAATTTCATTTCTTATACAGTGGTTGGACAGATTGAATAATTCAAGTGGCGACCATGAAACGCGTTCTGGATTTACAAGCAGCTCTTCTTTGATACATATTTTTTGGTCCTGGGTGTGAAGATTTTTTGTTGGCTAAGCTCACTTTTTTTTTACCTTAAATTCATATAAAAATCCGGGATTTTTGTGTATTTATCGTTCTCCAAAGGGCAACTTCAACACCTTACTACCGTTGGCTCTTACGCATTTTTACAATGTATTTAAAAATCAAGATCTCAATTATTTGTCAAAATTTCGGAACGCAATTTTCATCAGTGTTTTCAGCTTACAAAACTATAAATTTTTGTCGGAAATGAGGTATAGTAAAAGTAGGTTGCGTCGAAGTGTCTGAACTTCGAATAAAAAAATATGACTGATATCTTATTGCAAACATTAAAACATTATTGCGTCAAAGAAGATGCGCTATTATTAATCCAAGAATTTCTTTGAACCAGGTTACATGCAATAGCAGCAATCCGAATAAATTATCTTTAAGGCTTGGCGTACCTCAAGGTGCTGTTTCAGCTGCACTACTCTTTCTAATAGACATAAACGATCTTCCTAGGCTTCTTGCACACAGTCAACTCATTCTTTATTCAAACGAGACTACTGTGATTAAAATAACCTATTAAATACAACAACTAAGGTCAAAAATGGACGCGGTTTACAGAAGCACTTAATCATGGCATTAATTTGGTCATGCAATTAATCGAGCACGTGATCAATTTCAACCAATCTCATGCTCATATCCACCGGTAATGTTTTCTAGTTTAAAACGATGAATCTAAAGTCGCACATTTTAAACCATTATTATTATTATTTTTTAACAATATCTCACATGGAGATTAAATTTTCAAGAGATTTATTTATTATAAGCTATACATAGCTGTGGGTTTAGCCACAATTCGTCAGTGTGGTAAAATATCACTTATACGTCAAGTGAATGTTAAAGTCCACATTATGTCTGTCATTTGTGTCTTAAGATTTTATGTTTATCCTTCTTTCCAAACTGAATAACTTTTTCGTTTATATTCTTTTTGTTCATCTATTTTGAAATCTCAAAAGCAATTAAAATGTAATTTAAAAAACATTGGTTCTTTCAATAAGGGAAACCTTTCCTAAGCACCTAACCCTCATCTATTCTAATCCGCTTAAGATTTCACTGATAAGTTGCAGACAGTCACCACAGGTATGTTCTACCTGAGTATTTGCCCGGTAATAAATGTAAGAAAGGAAAAAAGTGTTTCGAAAAAGTTAACTACTATTATTAATTACTGTAAAGCAATTCAATTAAAAGAGTAAATTATAGTCGATAATTGTAAAAAATGTGACTAGAATAATTATGAGAATTAGAAGTCATGCTGACAAGTCATAATGTGTGATATTTTTAATTCAAACAAATGAAAGTATTCGTCAAAGGGTCGAGTGTATTTTAAGAGAAAATCAACCCAGATTTGGGTATTCGTTCCATCAGAAATCTGACTAGCGTCTCAGAAGTTGTGTGCAATCAACGGTACAGGAAAAATATAAAATTTAATGGATTATTTAACCTCGGCTGGGGAGATACCCAGCTCTTGCATGCATGTCATGAAATAAATGATCAAACAATACAACAATAGTGTGCCGCTCTACTAAACGATCAGAACAGTCTTTCATAATACTGCATAATGCCGTTGTTCCTGATCAGTTATTACGTTCTAGAATAGCACCGCAGAAAATCTTCCACAAGAGATAAATGTCGCAAAGCTAGTCAAATCGTCGCCAGTCCGTTATGCCATCGCGGACAGCAGCGCGACCACCGTTAAAAAGGAAACCGTTTCTTGGAAAGCCTGAACATGTTCCCGAAGATAAATCACCCATTGTTTACGTTTCGTTTCGAATGTGTGTTAACCGCGAATTGGCATAAAATCTTCACGTGTATGTCTTGTGAACGTGTGTGTGTGGGTTAGGTTCAACCTGCCGCGGTTAAGCACTTGACTGAGAGAGCAGTTAGTAAGTCAGTGGTGGTAAAAGCGACTTGAGTTAGTCTTGCACAGATATTCTTGGCCAGCGAATCGCGTGTGTTCACCTGTACCAATCTTCGAGTTCTTGTAGTGGGTCACTTGGACGTCGCTGTGCGGATATTTGCCCCAAGAGTGATCTGTGATTGACCGTGCGGACTTTCTGGATTTTTCTGGACGGCTTACAGGTAGGTGTGGAGCTTTGATCCAGACGATTTTTGAATGAAAACCGGTAATTTGCCTGGTTCCGGTATACCGCTGAGGTTCACGGTCAGCGAGATATCTCTAATTGCTGCATTTACAACCGCATGGAAAAAAGCGCAAACTGTATTATTATTTCTGCAATGAGCTTTAATTAACCGGCATCGTGCAGACACCGTTCCGACGCCGAAAAATAAACGACAACACTTTTTTGAAAACACTGGAATCGGCTACGTTTATTCGAGGTCAAATTTTCCACAATTACTTAAATAAAATGTGTTTATGATAAAACTATTAAAGTCGAGGGAAGAAAAATGACTCACTGCAGATTTAGAGGTGCAATGGCCTCTCAAAAACTTGCGCTTCGACTTTTGGCATTAACAACACAATTAAGCACTACTCCAAACATAGACTTAAACTGCGGATCCTATCTGATAGCAGCTCCATCGCCTTATAAATCTGAGGCTCGGGTTTAGAGTTCATGATCAGAACCCTATTCAGCTGATCGATTCTTCCCGCGATGATCTTATCCAAAATACAAGAAGCTATCAAATTCTCGGTCTCCTCTTCGCTTATCCCCAACTCCTGTCCTATGAACGAAATCTTTATTTTATTGTACGGTTTTATCAACAGCAACAAAATTTTAGTCCTGAAGTTCTTCAACAAGTCGATGATGTGCTCCTGTATGAACTGGTCCTTCATCAAACTCTCCTTGTTCTCCTGAAAAATCTTCTCAAACTCTTTCATGTTGTTATTCTGGTACGCCGCGATCAAATCCGTCATGGTTTTAATTTCCGGCTTATTCTTATACGGTTTGGCTTCCTGAGAGTCAAAAGGGTCAATAGCAGACTTCATGAGCATGCTCGTCAACAAAATATACTTCAAACACGCCAACCGTCGTGGGTTACCCGACTCGTCGTAGTTCTTAAAAGCTTCAAAAAAATCGGTGTAGGCCTTCTCGTAATCGCCCGACCTCAGATACATTTTCCCCCCGCACTCCCTAATGATGCTCATGATAATGGGGTGAGGTATCGCCGACCTCACTCTCAAAGACCGCTCGTACAACTCCTTCAAGTGTTGGTGGTTCTTCAACTCGGTATACATCTGTATTTCAAGAGCGTATACTTCTAGAAGTTGTGTACCTTTATGCAAATCACTCTCTGAATCGCAATAACCGCAAGCCTGTTTCAGTTGTCTGATGATGGATGAAAGTTTATTAAACTCGCCTCTCTCAAGGAAAACTTTTCCTAGTTTCGTGTTAGTTTTGAACCACAGCCTGTCGTTTTTCGAGTTTTTTAGCGCGTCCAGAGTCGTCTCGTAGAAATTCTTTAGCATTTCCATGTCGTCTGACGTCGACGTGAAATCTAAAATCGAGTTGATCGATTTCTCCGCGTGGTTTTTTGTCACGGCCGTATTAACATAAGTGAGAAGTTCCTTGTATTTGTTCATGGTTTCCTTGTAGTTTTTCAGCTGGAAATAGATTTTCACCATTTGCTTCAGGGCCTTGAAGCCCCAAATGCATTTCGAGTCGCCTTGGAGCTCCAACACGTGTTGGAAGGCCGCCAGGGATGCCCCGGCGTCCTCTTCTTTTAAGGATTTTGCACAATAGTATTGGTTTTCTAGATTGACGTCTGATTCAGACGTGCTGTCTTCGGAATACTCGAGTTCGTAATCGCTCTCTTCGAGAGGCATTTCTTCGTCTTCCATTGCGGGGTCGGGTTGACAGAATTTTTGTCGCTAGGAATTGCGTGACATTTTGTTCTGATCGAGTGTGTGGTGTGTCGGTGATAATTAGGTACTATTATGAGATTTCGCGCCAAATCTGAAATTAAAATATTGCATTTTTTATCGTAAAACCATCGTTAATTATTTATCAAATGTAAACAGTCAAATGAATAATTTCACAATCGATAAATAATTTTTACGTCAAGATAATAAAAAAGTTAAATAAAATAACAGGACAAGTTATAACTTTCGTCATACCTACACCAAATGAAATTGCTGTTTTTCGTTATGGTCATGGGAGGTTCTTCTTTGTTTGTTTGAAAAGTAATTTGACTTTATCAGTCATTATTTCAGAAATCTTACATCACGAAGATTAATTGAATTATAATTTTTTCTAATTTCTATTATACAGCCACCTAGACTGCCAGATATTATTCCACTTGATTTTTGTGGAATCGTTTAAACAATATGTGTCCAAACAAGTCAACCTTAAACGGTGGAAAAAGTTATTTCGAGAAGCAGCCATGGCCATCTGTCTAGACGTGATTAGGAGCATTTACAATACAAGTCAGTGGTGTACAAGAAAATAATACAATATCTGAGCACAATAATTAATTATTTTTGAATGATGAATCTCTTCATTTCTCACACTCGGAATTCCAAATATGGGTTAAATATGGGAAATTTTTTTTAGTTGAATTAAATTCCTTCTCTTACAGATTTATTTTTGAGATTTTTGAAAACATGACGTATCATTTATTTAGAAACTTAATCACATTCAGGGTGGTATGTTTAAAATTTTGACCTTTAAATGTCAAACAAAGATCATATGTTTAGTAAATATTAATAGAAGTTGAAATTATTTTTAGTCAAAAATTCAAAATCAAAATTCAAAATTAATTTCAGTTTTTTCCGAATCTGTGAGTCCATATTATCTGTTGGTTTATAAATATAAACACATATAGTCTTTGCCATTTCTATTGAAACACCACTTGTTGATCGTAAATTTGGCAACGTTCATATTCAGACAATTTTCTAACTAAAGGCCGTTGTCAATCAACCGAAAGCTTTTACCAATTGCTAAATTTTAAGCAAAATCAACAGGTGGTGTTTCAATAGAAATGGCAAAAGCAATAGTAAAACTTCGATTATAAAAGTCATCAAGTTGGCTGTGGTTTTTTGTGAACATTGTGATGTGTGGCTACAACGAGGAATGATACAACTTAACCTCACTTTTTCGTGTAATAAAATTAACTTGTCAAATGTCAATTATAAACATCAATAAAGATTAATAAAGCACATCACGTTTTCGCTACGTTTTCTTCTATTAAAACAAAAAACAACGCCACCTTGATGACTTTTTCGGTTAAACACCTGTTAAGATGTAATTTAAAAAGATAACACGTCTTTTTCACTGAAATTTAAATATAAAGATGGTGTGTGTAAGAAAATAACAGATTACGTTAGTGTTATTATACTGAAGTCTAGTAGGTCAGGGAGACAATTACGCGTTCTTGGAATGCGTCATGTCATCACTATTTTGTTATAAAATATGAAAAAAATTCAAAATTTTTGTTTTATTCAGATAAGTATTTTGGAATGATTAAAATATTAAATCATGGTTTAAAGTTATTGAGACAGATTTTCCCCCGTCCCTGAAGTACTACATACGATTCGAATAAATACAGTTACGTCGAAAAATAAAAAAAAATAATTTTGCGAGTTTTGTTATCTTTTTTATAACAACCCCTATTAGATAAAATAAAAATACAAGTAAATAAGCCTGCAACCCCTTTGATTGTTTATTTTTATACATCGAAAGGATGAGACGATGAAATATTACTGAAAAAGAGCGGGTGGGCGGGGTAGTACTTGCTAAGATAAAACTGGTATTGCCAAATGACATATCTTTGAAGAAAATAAAGAGTGGGCGGGTGGGGCTAGTACTTGCCAAAATAAGACTGATTTTGCCAAATGATATACCCTCTAGCCTACAATTTCTTAGACGGCAGCAGTTATTAGCCCCGCTCACCCACCCTCTTTTTTGTTAGAGGATGTCATTTGCGAAAATCAGTTTTATCGTAGCAGGTACTAAGCCCGCCCACCCACCCTCTATTTTCTTAGAGGGTATCTCATTTGCCAAAATCAGTCTTAGCAGGTACTAGCCCCGCACACCCACCCTCTTTTTTCTTAGAGGGTATGTCATTTGCCGAAATCAGTCTTAACTGTGCAAGTATTGATGACTAACTTTTACAAAAAACTATCAAAATTTGAAACATTACGACCTTACTTTTATGCACAAGGCAGGAATTTTGAACATCTTCTCTAGTGTTTAGTTGGTTATGCTTTAATGGATTTTTTTTTTGTTGGTGTTGTTTTTGTCTATGATTTATAAATATCTTATTATTTTTTTTTTGGGTTTATTTAACGATTAATGACTACTGATTGCTATTTTAAATATACAATAAAATTCTAAAAATTCAAGGCCAATGCATAAACCACAAGTACAGGAGTATGTTATTTTATAAAATTTTAATAGCATTTACCATGCAAAATTTTGATTAGATGATTTTGGTTATCGTTTTATCCCTATTACATTATTATTGTTACAATACTTCCTTAACTCACGCTCGGAAAATTAAAATAAAAATATGATACAATACCTAAAAAATGTCTTCTGTAATATATATTTTTGGTACAGTGTTTAAAAAATTCGTTATGTAATAATTAGGGTGAACAATGAAATTTTGTTTCCATAACCTATTTAAATTATCAATCAAGACAGACAAGAATTCACTTTCGTAAACAGAACATTTAAAATGGAAATAATTTAATAATATCTAAGAACGAATAAATAACTTTTAATTAAGATTTTACCACCTTCACTATAATCTTAAAACACACCTATAATTTTACAGTAGTGGGCTCGGTAATTTCAGCGATTTATCAGCATAATAAAATCAGTAAGAAAGGCAAACAGGAAATCTGCATTTTCATATTCTATGAGCTGTTAAACGCGGAGGAAACAAGAACTTAAACTGTAATTAAAATCATAACACTTTCGCTCGAGAAGAAAAAATGACAAGTTCCAGTACCTTGAAATAATCTAGAATAAATAAAATCATTTCAAACAAAAAAAATGTTTCCAGTTGAAACGAGAGAACTCTTTTTCAATGAAATCACTGTGTAGAACTTGAAAGTAAAAATAAAATTTATAAAATGCGTTCCTAGAATTTAGTAAACAATTGTCGTACACAGTGTCATAAACCACAAATATATATTCATATTTTCCACGTTTTAAATAGGATTTATGCAGCAAAATTTTGAGATGACGTCATCAACTTTTTGGGAGGGAATAAACGAATAAATTTTGATTAACGATTTACCATGATTATGACAACCTTAAATTTGATTTTTTTGCCAAAATCTGGAGCCCCAAGGTAAAACTAAGGGACGTTACCAAATTGTTGGTGGGAATGATTAGCTAAATTTTGGAAATAGGGAAAAAAAAATCGGGAAGGAAAAATACGAAATTTTGATGTGTAACGTTTATCTGTTGATTTTTTGAGCTGACGTCATCAAATGTACGAGGAAGTAAATAAATAATAATTTGTTAGCTTTTTTTGACTATTATTAAGTAAAAATGAATGATCTATCATAAATTTACTACTCTTTTTATTGTAAAATTTGATTCAACAAGTTTGATTTCTTTAGGACTTGTACATTAAAATAGAAATATATTTAGGTGAATTATTAAACCAAACTAAATGAGCAAGTTATTTTGTATATTTTAAGTGATATTCTCTGCATAAAATTTGGTGGGGATAACTATACTATTTTTGATTTTTTTTTTGTGCAGTTAACGCTAGTTTTGATTCAAGAATTTCGTTTTCGATTAAATCAGAATCACAGAAAATAAAAATATATTACCAAAGCACAATCAGAGCTTATCTCTGGACCTACTTTGTCATTATTCTACCAGCTATTAAACGTCGAGAAAACACTTCTGCGCGACAATTGTCATAGAAAAACACACTGATTAAAGATAAACTAATCAGGAAATAAGTAGACATTCGTAATAACGAAATCCTGCTGTTTTCAGTCGCTTCGCCAATAAATTCCGCAATAAAATTTAATGTTTAATCATAAACTTGAAGAAGATGGGTCATTGTTGATGAATCTGAAAAAATACGAATGTAATCTGCACAATCTGCACACGGTTTTAACCTTTCACGACAAAATATTCTTTCGTACTCTTGGTTGACATTGACATCTGCGCAAGTACTTCTTGAAACCTAGTGACGTCACTCATCCAACGCCAGGCATGAATAATTTCGCTTTTTTTAAAGCCAGTCACATTCACCTTGTTTTGCAAGCAATAAAGCCATCATTTTCGAGCAGGACTTCTTTTAAATCCAGGTGTATTTGCAAACAGAGTTTTCTAGGAAGGCGGAACTTCGTCTACCATTAGTGTCTCAGTGATTGATTCGCCATGAAAAAAACCCGTAATCACACCAAGGTAAATTGAATTAAATACGCAATCAAAGCGGCATCCCATGACGGAAGTGGAGGCATGTACGACGGAGAAATACGGCAATAAATCCTGGAACTGAAACTATCGGAATTGCGTGAGAAACACTAGTCATATGCATACGGTTTAATAAGGTTAATATCTCCTTCCCACCCACCTTAAGATTTGTTACGTTCGAAATTGCCGTTGATTAGGGCCGCTTTCTATCGCTGCAACGCTACAACACGCATTAGCCATATTGACAAAGAGATGACTAACGTGTCCATTAGCATACCACCAACAATCTACTGTCATAAAGGAGATTAGAGCTGGCGCACACCACTTACATGTCGTGCCATTGTGTTGTCGATGATTTCTTCTACCTGTATTATTTCTAATGAACTGTTAAAGGCTTGTCAAACGTCGGTGTTATCAGCGATTGAGATTTCGGGGAACACTTCGCCCATGAACTCTGCCAAAAACCCATTTCCTGCTCACTTTGGTGATTGATGAGTCAAAATTTTTGGAAATCCTGTTTGTTCTAACTATGCGACTCGTAGCAAGTCGACCTTAATTACCAGAAACCT